CTTTCCCAATACTTTTAATTCAAAGTTTTTAAGTATGAAACACTTAAAAATTGGGTTATTTTGTAGAATATTCTGGAACATGTTTTCAAGCTTTTAATCTTTTGACTCCCCCTGGTTTCGTTTCTGTCTGTTGGTGTCACTGACGACTCAAACCCACCTTGTCTGATCAGATGGAACTTTCCAAAGTCTTTACTGTGAATGTGACCCTGGTACACAAACGTCTTCTGGTCTGACTCTGCTGTAACCTGAATGACAAAGTAACACACACAGTTAGTACTACAGGACAGTACTAGTACTCTACCAGTCACTGAGATGTTGATGACAGTATTCAGACAGTATTCGATCCTCACATTTATTTGGAATACAGTCATGGGCCATATTGGATAGTTTGGTGGGCCGGATTTTGCCCATGAGCCACCAGTTGATGATCACTAACAAATGTAATTTGATCCATAAAAATAAATCAAATTTAAACTACTTTTCCAGTACCGTATAAAGTTTTGGTAACCATTTTGATGCCTGAACTTTATTAAGGACAACAGCCCTTTGAGCTAATGGGTGACAACATTTATTGACTTTATTAAACTACTTTTCCAGTACCGTATAAAATTTTGGTAACCATTTTGATGCTAACATTTAGCCTATCTTTGGACTTGAATTTCCTTTGAAATTATTTCTAAAATAGTTGCCTTGTTAAAAATGTTTTTTTAAAGTTAATTACCTACTAATTTCAAGCTACATTTTCAGACACAAAATCACGCAGTCACGTCAGGTGAAGCCAGAGGAAAGACAGCATTACAGTTTCACTGTCCAAAGAAAATTATGTTAAAGCTGACGCATTTTTAAACCTTGATGAGAAAAAAAAAAAGGTAGTTTAACCTGATCCCTGAGGGTTAGATATGCCCTTCTGTTCCTGGGCAACAAAAGATCCAAAAAAATCAATCCATCCTGTTCCCTAACCTCTCAAGGATTTAAAGCACGCAAGGCTGGTGATGAATTGGTTTTCAAAAAACGATGACAGCAAACAGAAAGATTAAAATATCAGGGGAATTCATTCCCAAACACAGGTAGCGGGCTTCAAATCCATGCTGAAGCGACTGTTAAAAAAAACAAAACTTTTGAAATGTTTTGTGTTGTAAATGATAACATCTGTGCAAACAAATGGAACGTTGTCATTGTGAGGTGGTGGGTTTCATCCCCTCCACAGGCCGCACTGTCCTCAGGATGTGTCCCTAAAATTATGACACATCAGGTGTGCCGTTCCCTGCTGCTGTACATGAGGACGGATCCATTCATCAAAATCAGATTATTATTCTCCACAGTCGCAGCGTGGCCTGACCTGAGTGCCTTTTTTTGAAAACTTTTTTTTTTTAAACTTCTCTCACCTGCCTGTGTGTCTGCCTGCATGTTAATCACTGGATTCCTATCCAGGCACAGGATCATTGACCTGACGTCTGTTCCTGCTGTGCTCAGCCAGCTCTCATTACCCGCTCTTCAGAATGGGACGTCTGCCAGACTTTGTTTCTGCCCGGCCACAGCTGCTCACTGTCCTCTCTGAGGACACTGAACTCTGTGATCCCTCACACACAAACATTTAATATTTACTATTCGTTTTACGTCCATCTGATTGTCCTTTAACTTCAGCTGAACACCGTGGACACAGGTGAGCGCCAGGGTTCACTCCTGCTCCTCGTCTCTCGCCTTTTTATTTTCCTTGTTTTTACAGTATATGTAGGTTGGGATCAAAGTTCGACAGAGTTTACCCAGAATGCACTCTAAAGTCGCATATTCAGATTTATCACCACAGTGACATACGGTATGTCAGTGATTATCAACTGGTGGCTTGTGGGCTAATTCCGGCCCGCCATACAGTCAGTCCAGCCCACGACAAGATTCCAAAATAAAAATCAAATTCAATTCTTAAACAAAATGTGATTTTTATTTAATTTAATTTGAGTGTCCAGCACCCAAGGTGTCTGTCCAGAAAGGATTTGGTTGGTGACCCCTGCTGTATGTTATAGTAGGAATAAAAATAATATAAAATATAAAAAATAGTTTTTGTTGGTTTTTTTTGTTGTTGCATCTTGATGGTCGGGCCTTGAGAATTTCTATAAAATATAAAAAATAGTTTTTGTTGTTGCATCTTGATGGTCAGGCCTTGAGAATTTTGGTATCAATAAAAATCTGTCCTGGAAAGTGTGTGCTAGAAAAACAAGACCTGGTTTGTTCAATGTCAGGTTCAGAGGAAAACAGACGGCACCAAATTAGATTTACATGCAAATTTGAAATACGTTTTTAAGTTTTTCATTGTTGCCTTACAAGGCAAAAGTTTCTTAAAAAATTACGACATTACGCTAATTATTTAAAAGTTATTTATTCTGATTTTTGCTTTTTTTATGTGTTTTTTATGTGATTTAATATCCTCGTGTTTAAATGTTAGATGTTTTTATTTTTATTTTACTGCAAAGTCTCTAATTTAATTGCATTTTTCCCGTCTTTTATGGGACCCAATCTGTGGATGATATTTAACTATTTCTGGAATGAGCTTTAATTATTTTTTATCGGCCGTAGTTCTGTTTTGCTTTGTTTAAGCTATTTTTCCAGCTACAACTATTCATTGTAGCTAACATTTAGCTACTCTCGCTGTAATTCATCTTCACAGTGTTGCTGATGAATTGCATCATATTGTGTTTTGACACGCCATGCTTTCCAGAGTGTGGAAAAAACCCCTATAGCGAGAAAAGCGTGAGAGTGTTCGGCGTCGTAAAACTCAGACACTGCTCACTTTCGCTTTTGTTACTTGAACTAAATATAAGAAACTGAAACATTTTCTCGACATCTGTCCAAATCGGAATGACTGGGATTTAATCACATCAACGATTAAACAAAGCACCTGTCAATGCCTTGCTGCCACTTTCAGTGATGCTATGGATACATTGTTCCAAAAATCTATGAAGCTGATACTTTGTATGTACTTTATATATACACAAATATTTGTAAACAAGTATGCAATAAAATCAAGAAGACAGATGTCTTACATATCCGTCCATGGCCCAGTTGTCATTTTTGAACTTGCTGTAGTAATGCTCCGTCGGTCCTTTCACCTGGTAGACTTTCAACAGCAACTGGTTCTCCTCTGACTTATATGTACCTGAAAGGACACGGGAAAAAAAACCCCAACTACTTCATGATCAATAGCAGAAAAACAGATGGAAACTGTGGCAATTACCTCTGTCCTTTAATGTGCAAATTACTGGAGACAAAAAATGACTTAAATGACATTAAACTTTAAGGTTCGTACTCTTTTGTACTCTTCTGCTCCGGCTGAATAATTCATTGAGAAATGTCACAGTGAAATGCCAAAACAAACTGTTGTCGGGCAGCCTCCGTCTCTCAGTTGACTCTGCTCAACTTTCTTGAAGGTTATCATTTAAATCAACTCACGGAACACTTGCGTTCATCTGCCAGACTTTCACAGAACGTAAACAGTGCATCATTCACACCAGGGCAGTGCGAGGAGACAGAGAGACGATGTGAGCGCTGAAAGAACATAAGGGGCACTGACCCAAAACCTGTTCATCATGTCCACCAGTACGCCTACTTCATTTATTATTTCCACTCTCTACAGCAGGTTCAAATCACATCTTTTACTGCCCACGACTCATGCGTAAGTCGCTAACGCACTGCTGTATGTTTAGCTGCAGAGTTAGCTGGTTTAATTTCCACTGTATTGTGGGCTATTTAGGACTTGATGTGGTGATAGAACCACAAAATACAATTTAAAATCTGATTAATTGTGGGGTAGTTTGTGATTAATCACGAATAATTGTGACAAATCATGATTAATCATGATCTCTATCAGGCCAGTCACTAGAATCTTTTCTTGTTTTCATTTATTTGATGTGCTAAAAAAACCAACACTAAATAATGTTTTAGGGCACTCAAACTGTATAGCGCTCCCTGGAGGTAGGGCTAGACAATCACATCACTTAGTTTACAAATAACTGCTGCAGATTTTGTCATTTAACTTCTGGTTTCACACCCACAACATTTTTTCTGAGTACCCCAGGTGGACTTGTCCTCTGGTTCCCTCACATGTGGATAACTGACAACAGCTGACCACATGTGGCCCACACCACTTATCCGGCTGAAACCTATTGAACTTTGCGTAGAACAAAAAACCAACTGTGCTGGTGGCTGAGCTCCAACTTTTTTTTTTGTACCTGACAGTCTGATTGACACGCCGCTGGTCTCCAGTAATGTGATGTTAACCCTGCCGCTGGTAGCATTGAAAAGAGTAACTGTCAGAGTGGTGGCCTGTCTCTTCCCCAGATACTCGTAGAAGCCGCTCCAGTCAGAGTTTGGTGAGAAGACGTCTGCAGGAACTGGGCAAGAATATAAAAAAAAATATCAGACAAGATTTTGGATTATGTGTGTTCTTTATGTTATTACATCTAAATAAGTGAACGGAACTGAACTGTTTTCTAGGAATCTGGTCATGAAGGTATAAAGTACCTTTGACAGATAAGTGGTATAGTAGTGCAGCCCACAATGACTACAACCACAGACACCACTAGTTAGTGAAAATGTAGTATTTTATGCCGCGTACCTCGGATCATGTTCTTCTGGACGTCTGAGTCTCCTTTGCCTTTGGGATTGACTTTGACTCCAACTAGAGTGGAAAAGTAATTAAGGAAAAAGAAAAAGAAGAAAAAAAAACTATGAGAAATTAAACTTTAGAAAAAGGTCATGTTCAACAGGAGTGTCAGGGCTCCTCAGGAGTCCAAGGAAGTGGTGGTTAGGGAGTAGGAGAATATTCTGCTTGATTAGAAAAAAATAATATATACATAAATATAGATATATAGATATAGGTATATACTGTATATATAAATATTTTAAAAAATATTGTGTGAATAGATGCACATTTAAAATTAACACAAAAATGTATAAATATGTTTAGTCTTACTCGTGTGTCCCTTTTTTTAAACTTGTATTTATTTATTTATTTATTTTTAGCAGCTGGTTACCTTTACAGAGGGGGGGTTTCCCTGACCATCTCCCATCACTCCTACAGGTTCTGTGCTCCGAGCCCCCGGCTAAATAGAAACCGTCTTGGCAGGTGTACATCAGCGTGTACCCCAGGGTGGGCAGCTCCATAGAGCGAACATCTACGTTAGTGGGGGTCTCTGGTTGTCTGCAAGAATGGGCTGAAGGGGGGAGGGAGGGGGAGGAAATACATCCAGTTAGCAGTGAAACACACATCTGAGGAATCACATTCTGCATCACTGGAGGTGATGGTAAAACTCCAGACAGGGATTTTTCACTATAGTCCTACATTGAAACGTTAATTTTCCACAGGTGAGCGCACATAAAAACGGGGAGAAACCACCACGCCCACCTATGCACTCCGGTTGAGTTCCACTCCAGGTCAGATTTTCTAGACACGTTCTTGTTGTGGAACCCAGGATGTGGTAGTTCTTACGGCACTTGAAGGAAACTTTGCTGCCGACCTAAGAAGGGAAAAGGAGCGTAGGAGATAAATCGCTGACGTAGTTATTGTCACGATGCAGTGACCGGGTATACAAGTGGGGGGGTTTAATATTTTTCAATGTACAAATACATTTTTTTTATTGATAGATTGTCTAGTGTAAATATTTTTTGAAGACTTAAAAGTTGTTTCCATTTGGACTGAATTAGGTTTTAGTTTATGAGAGGAAAATAAAACTGACAGCAAACCTGTCGATGTCCTCACTGTGTTTTGGGTTGAGCTCTCTCACTCTCTCTCTCTCTCTGTCACACACGTGCGCACACACACACTGTGTCACCTATATAAAACTGCCCTCCAGTTCATTGCGTATTCATAAAAACCCATCCCCAAGAAGTGACAGTACTGTATCTCAGAGTACACCCTTGAAAATACTAGTATTTGTGTCTGTGAGTATGGGACTGGAGGGAGTAGGAGTGAGTGGTCTTACTTGAAAACCTTGGGCCATCACTGGGATACCGTAGGCTGGAGTCCCAGGGTCACGGCAGCTGTTGAAGGCTGGGTCTACACACACACACAGACACACACACACACAGAGACACACACACACGTATGTACAGAGATACTCATTGTACTCAGACTTGCAGGAATCAGCAGTCTGTATAAGTCCTGCAAACACAATCATGGCCTCAGCACTTTGACAAAGCAAACCGTCTCAGCACAAAGGCTGATAAGTGTTGTGGGTAAAAATACTCTGTTATCATGAAGTGGCACGAGGCAGAGGAATACTGCAATATATGGTAAGTAGAAGTCGGAACCTCACGGTGATATACAGTAGTGAGACTCAGAGGGTCCTCACACAGCAGCAGTTTGAAAATAGAACCACGTCTACCACTCTGGTCAGAGTGTTAGGCTGCATCACAGACAGATATTTCTGGATGTGTACTGTATGACAGAGTACAGTTATTTTTAAAAGAGGCAGATGATAAAACTGCTCCTGTGTTGCCAGGAGGCTGCGATATAGTAAAGCATCACACTTTAACAACAGCAGCAGTTTTTTTTTCACCCCCTGTTATCATTTCACTGCTTGTTAGGAAATGGAGGCCATGATTTTCCAACTCCGTCAAAACAAGTGTCTGATTGTTACTATAGTCTAAAGGGCGGATGTTTCTTTTCCTTTTTGGAAATGGAACGCTGATATTGAAACTATAGGAGTGACTGATACTGTCAGTCACTGAGTGCAGCCTATCCTTCAGTTACCTATACAGGCTGGTTGGTGTCCGCTCCAAATCCCATCAGCCTGACACACTCTGGAGGCGGAGCCCACGAGCAGATAGGGGACGTGGCAGTAGAATCTGACCTCAGATCTGTAAAGGAGGTTGTTTTTTCAGCAGCATGTTTTTGATGGGAAACAGTAAGAAACAGTTCAATTGTACATACATTTTGTATTTGCTTCATATATGTTAACAAATCACCTGTATGAAAAGGCGTTCCCTTCCCTGAATCCTCCTCCAGGTGAACCAGGATCACCACACAGAACAGCTACAGACACACAGGGAACACACAGGGAGTTTTTGATCAAAAACCGAGAACAAATCATCACTGGCAGCAGTTTGAAGCACATTTCAGAGAGAAGACGGTCGACCAGTCGACCAGGTGACCAGGTGACCTACGCAGACACTGAGGGACCTCTCCTGTCCATGTGCCGTTCCCCTCGCAGCCTAATACAGCAGGAGTGGACAACTGGTACCCATGGAAGCAACTGTAGCTCACGCTTGAACCCCATGAGTAGTCCGTCCCTTCCACTTTCCCATGATGCACTTGGGGTGGAGGTCCGCACTGGATTACTGAAAGACACAAACGCACGATATGACACACAACTGAATTGGTATATTGACAAGAAAAAACTTCTATCCTGGCTGAACAGGTCAAGCCTGTCTACCCTGCGGAGCATGTCCACAACACAAATGTTATGAACAAACACCCGAGAATAATGTCTTTATCCACAGGACTTAACGTTATTGGACATTTTATTTTTTTGAAGGAAAGCCCCTTGATTTGCAAGTGTGTGTTTGTTTGTGTGACATGGATGGAACTTTATCCCACCATGCCTGTCTTACACCCTGATAAAAACCTCAGTCTGTGTGTGTGTGTGTGTGCTCAGCTCCCTTAGATAATAAAAAAACCATCTGCATGCTTTCAAACATCTCAGAGTAATTCTCATCTAACCAGGAGACAGATGGTTCCGTTCATTCTTCCGTCATGATATACAGACACAGACTCACTGACAACAGTGGACTGACAGGACGGAAGAGAGTTATAGAAAGACAGAAAAATCAGAGGCGGATTAGATGAACAGATAGACGGACATAAGTAGACAGATTGACAGGTGGATTGATGGTCAGTGAGAGGATAAATACATGGAAACTGTTAAATAGGAAGAAAAAAAAGATCAATTTAACATCAAGATATTCACTGACAGACAGACAGCTGGATACCATGACAGACCAACAGGTGACTGGCCGTACAAGTCTTAGCAAAATGACGTGTGCGTCATACAGTAATTTCCGGACTATAAGCCGCAGATGAGCAGCAGTGAAAGCACAGAAAAAGTCATCTACAGACACGCTAAAATCACAACAATAATTTTTTTTTAGATATTTGTGTGTTTGTTTGTGTGACATGGATGAAACTTTATCCCACCATGCCTGTCTTACACCCTGATAAAAACCTCAGTCTGTGTGTGTGTGTGTGTGCTCAGCTCCCTTAGATAATAAAAAAACCATCTGCATGCTTTCAAACATCTCAGAGTAATTCTCATCTAACCAGGAGACAGATGGTTCCGTTCATTCTTCCGTCATGATATACAGACACAGACTCACTGACAACAGTGGACTGACAGGACGGAAGAGAGTTATAGAAAGACAGAAAAATCAGAGGCGGATTAGATGAACAGATAGACGGACATAAGTAGACAGATTGACAGGTGGATTGATGGTCAGTGAGAGGATAAATACATGGAAACTGTTAAATAGGAAGAAAAAAAAGATCAATTTAACATCAAGATATTCACTGACAGACAGACAGCTGGATACCATGACAGACCAACAGGTGATTGGCCGTACAAGTCTTAGCAAAATGACAATCAAATGGTTTAGCTCAAGATATTTTGTTGAATCAAGACTTTTTAAAAATTAAGGAAATGCAATTGTTTACTTTTTGTGTTAATTAAATTCATTATATTTTGAATATTATAATATGAGTATTTTGATTTTATTTAAATGTTGGATGTAAATATTACTGAACCCATATCATTCATCAATTTTGTTATATGCAAACATCAAAAAGCATAACTAAAGGATTTGTTTAGGATTTCTTTCTTCCCTGTTTCACATTACACTGTTTGGACATGCACAGGAAGTCATTCTCCACCACTTCTCTCCTTCTCAGTGATCACTGACTCAGTTCCCTCCACCAGCCTCTGGTCCTCTCTCCTCTGTCTTCACCCTCTGTTCTCTGACTTTGGTCCCCTGCCATCTTTCGGACAGCCCCTCTACTCTTCCTTCAGGCCTTTTCCTTCTCATACTGTTAGCTTTTCTACCTCTTTTTACCTTTATCTCTCCTAGACCAGCTACCACAAGATGATGAAAATTTACAGCAGGAGTGAAACATCCAGGATTGGTTCATCAGGTGTAGTGTTAAAAGCTAAACGCAAGAATAAAAGCCTTTCAGATACATTTCTGCCAACACGAGTTTATTGTAAACTCAAGGATGGAAAGAAGAGACTTTTTTTTTTTACCAATTATTATCTGAGTTTTATATTTAGCTTGTTTGAGTGGTGACCTGAGTTCAACAATTTCTCTGATGTTCACCTAACCAGACAACAGTTCCAACTCTTTTCAACAGTATTTATATCTACAGGTGTTATTGCATTGTAATAATATCACTAAGATATAAAAAAGTATGAAAAACTTTGAAACTATGAAAATGTAAATTGTTAAATATAAAATATCCACATTCTCTTGGCTTTAGCATCCGTGCTAGCTGCTGCTACCGCTATTGCTGCTTCGTACAGTTTATACTGTTTATATTCTGTTTGTCCCAGGACTGTTTGTGGCGCTGTTGTCCTTGAACACAGTAAATATCAAGAGCAGTGAAAAAAATCAAGACCAGTGAAAACATTTTGTGTTCATTCAAGTTAGCTGTTCTTAACTCTTATGCTAATTGTGTAGCAAAGGATTATGACATCACTGTCATCATGTAGGAAATTTGTCCTAATCTTAAATCACATTACCGGACATGTATGAACAAATAATAATAATAATTTGTCCACATTTCAAATAAATGTACTAATAACAACAATAATAATAATAATAGTCCACATTTCAAATAAAAGTCTAAAACTAAGAGTCTGCTGGTCACACATTCATGTTTTACTTTTTTTACTCTCACAAATCATAAAGAAAACAGGTCTAGAGAAATGCATCTTTAGAAACAGAAATAATAAACACCAACAGCACCGACCCACAAAGAAACTTTATAGTGTAGTGGAATGTAAATTAACAGTAAAAGGTTATGATAGGAATAAAAAGTTTAAAAAACCTTTGACATCAAAAGAGCTGTAGATTTAAGTAACAATAAAAATAATGTTACCTCTGCTGATCCTCACTGTAATTTCACAGGGAAGTATCATTTGTGGCCCTGGTTTTGACTCCTCTTGTGCGCCCTCTGTCCTCATGACTGCATTACTGCCTCTCCCACCTTTACCTCATCTTTTAGTCACATTTCTCTTAATGCAGTTCAGCCAGTCGACACTTCGTCTTCTCTTCTAATCCCCCCCCCCCTTTTTTTTACTGTGTTTACAGGTTTAAGGACAGGTATTGATTTGTCTCTCTTTGTTTCTCCCATTATTCCTTTACGCTCTTTTGCACTTGCCTTCTTCTGCTTCTTTGTTTTAATAATGTCGTTCCCACCCGACCCTCTTTTTCTTTATCACATTTTTCTGTCAGCAATAATCGTTAGCAGCCTTTTTAAAGGTTTCTGTGTCACTGCAACTTTCCCAACATCACTTGATGTTCTCTGCCTGTCAGGCTGCACATTTATAGTAGTTGCTGTTCTCCAGGAGGATCAAACGCTGGCTATATGTGGATTATTTAACGTTGGTGGAAGAAACAAAAGATGTAAACAAAAATAAACTAAAAAGGTGAGTAAACCGGGACAGAACAGAAAGTCAAACAAAACTCTCCAGTATTTACCTATCAATTCTACCCATTCAACTATTCTGTTTTTTTTCCGTCACAAACTCCTTTTCCATCACCTGGAGTATCTTCTACGTAGTTTCCCCCCTTGCCTGCATCCCTCACTGGTTTCCTCTCACTAGTGGCTCTTCTAGGTTTCTTTCTTCCTATTTTTTTTCATCCCAGTTCAAAGCTCACGCAGCTGCAGGAGCCAGCAGGAGACTTTCTGTTTGTGGTACGAAGCGGCAGGGAGGATCTCAGGAAGCATTCCCCCTATTTCAGTCGTTGAGTATCATCATCTAAACTCTAAATATGCGCCGCCGTAAACTCCAGCCCATTTAATTTTAAGGCATTCTGTCTTTTCCTCTGCCCTCCTTGCGTTTGTGAAAAGCAGACTTGTTTTAGGAAATAAACTCCAATAACAATGTGTTATTGTAGAGTTAATGTATTGGAATGTTAACCTGATTTGACTCTTTTTTTTAATGTACTGTTTAAACTAACAATCTGTTCATTTGCCACGGCTAAATTATTACCGTACTTTATAAACGGTGCCTGCTGTTTGTGGGCTGTTTACAATGTATGAATCTCAGCCTGTGGTTAAGTCGGGTTTCTACACTGTCCGCTCGTTGGTGATGGTTTCACACTGAATGGATCTGTAGTGTATAGGCTCTAGAATTCAAATGAAAGGATTTAGATGTTTTTGCCTATAAAATATCACGTTATGCTACATTGACGCCGTGGGCAAAACAGGCCTCACCCCACCATCTGTGCATATATCTATATATATCTAATAACAATATAAGCCTTAGACGTCATCCTTACCTCTACAACTGGGTTTTGTTTGGTTCCAGGTTCCATCTTTGGTGCAGCGCAGAACACTGTGTCCGAGTCCAGGTGGTTCCATCAGGTGTCCAGGGTTGCAGCGGTAGGTCACTGTGTGATTGAAAATGAATTCCTTTCCAACATAGTTCCCATTGGCCACTGGACCGGGGTCTCCACAGGCAATTACTAGAAGTGGAAGAGAAAATAATTAATAATTGAGGTATATGGTAAAATATATTTACACTTAGTTAAAAAAAATTACATCCAGTATGAATAGAATAGAATAATGTTTTTTAAACTGAACTAATCCGAGACCATAAAGTGTTTTTTTTTTTTTTTTAAATGTGAGCCACACCTTCCCTTGAGCACTTAGGTGAGGGTGGAGGCTAGTGCTGAGGTGACAGTTCTTATTTATTTTTCTTATTATTCTTATACAGAATTGACGAATCACAGAGAAAGATGAAGGACCATCTGGTACCTGTACAGTCAGGTGGTTGTCCTGTCCATGTGCCATTCGTTGTGCAGTGTCTGGTGGTCAGGCCTGATGTTTTGAAACCTTCCCAACATGCGTAGGCCACAGAACTACCGAAGGTGATGCCGTCGCTGAAGACGATTCTTCCGTGAGCCGGAGTGCCGGGGTTACCACAGGATACGGCTGTGGGTGTGGGGGGAGAAGGGGTGGTTGGGGTATTAAACAGTGGTAATTAATCACACACAGGCAATCAGTCTGAACAATACAGCACCGCTGTCACTCAAGGCTTATCAACTATAGGCTGCAATAATGAGATTATCACTGGAGTCAGCTGGAAGGAACATAAAACATATCCTTGAGCTAGTGAAGCTGATTAATAAGTAAAGGTTGTTGGACTGAGTCCCGGCACTGAACAGCAGATGTACAGTATTCTGCGTGTGTGCTGGAGGCTGGCAGGAGACTGGTAATACATCTACAGAACAGCAGCCACTATAAGTGCCACTGAGCAAAGCACTACGACTGGAGAAATGCTCCAAGGACAAGGTTCTGTCGGTTATTAAAATACAAGACATGATGCCAGCAGAGATGAGGCGCCGTTCTGCATAAGACTGTGATGGTACGACACCCAGCAGCTGGGAACTAAAGCAAACAAAAACACAAAAGTGTGTTGGTCATGCAGCTGAGCGTCCAAGCTAATTATCAGTCAGAGCCTGCAGACAATGTCCTTCCTGAGCTGTACTGGGACGGACATGTCCTGAAAGAATGGGAGCAATGAGTAAAAACACACCATTCAACTTCAGGTATGAGTGAATTTTGGGAAGGCTGATAACCATTCAGGACACACTGATGTGTGTTCCTGCAGATGTTTTCACACATTTTCTTTCTTGGTTGGCTAGAGTCATTGTGACATAATGTTCAGCTTAAGGGCAAACTATGGCCCATGGCCCAGATATGGTCCACTGAGCTTTCTAACCCAGCCCACTAATCACTGGTACAATGTATGGTTAAGACTGATTTACTTCCTTCTGTTTCATGTACTGTATTTGCGTTGATTGTAATTCCAGTTGACGCCACTAGAGGGCAACATAAATCACATGAGCCATCATTTTTTAGAAGGTTGAGGACATTCTACATCCAATCGATATTAAACTGGCCTGCTGGTCAAATTTTGAAAGTTTGCCCACTGGTGGCTTAAGCAGTTATTGCAGTTTATATGGTGAATACTGTAATGCAGTAAAACCTGTAGTCTTTGGCTACCCTGTAGTACAGCGACACATCAAAAAAAAGTTTTTCATTCAGCTGTTACAGTAGAGTGAAGGACAGAACTGCCAGAAAAACAAAACAAACAAAAAAACCATGATGACGGCTGATGTCCGTCCATCATTAGTTTGCTGGCGAAGCAACCGTTATTACCTAACTAACCCCGGCACATTTCACTAACAGGAAGGAGACAGTGGACGGCCTTCGACAGTCCAACACCTATTGATGGCATTCATTACTCACAGCCCTTAAAAGCTCTGTATAAGAATATATATGTGTGTGAGACAGACATGTGTGGGTTGAGTTAGAGCACATGAAGCAAGGATGTGTGTGTGTGTGTGTGTGTCTGTACTGTTGGTACTGTTTCTGTAGGTTTTTATTTTCCTCTTTATAAATGCGCGCCTATGGATTTTTCTGTGTTTGTGTCCCGGTGATAGATGTCTCATCCTTTCTGAATCAGCTTTTAACCACAATTAGCTTAATGAAAAACAACTGTAGATGGACATAAATAATTAGGGCGACACAAACACGGACACCAGTGAAGACAAAAGACATACAGCTCTAAGAGAAGTTTGTGTGTGTGTGTGTTTAGGTGCTGTAAGGTCGAGTGTCTGTAAGATTAAAAGGCCAGGTTTTAATGCTATTGATTCAGTACGTGGAGGCAAAGGAAGACTTACAAATAAAAATAAAATTTACTGCCGGACTGTCAAGACTCGGCAGAAATCAGACAACTGCGATTCAGTGTAGAATTCCGCCTTGTACTGCAGTAGAACTGTTCCTGTTGTAGTTATTATTAGTACAGTAATCATTGGCTGTCAGAGCCCACCCACCTTAACACTGTGGTACTGGAGTATCAAACTGATTACAGCTCACGACTGATGTGTTGGTTATGTATCCAACTGTAGAATATGAGATATGTTTTTCTTCAACAGAAAAATGAGAAAAATTTCAAAAGAATCCATTGACTTCTTCCAAGGCTGATATCCCTGGCTGTGCTGTGCAGCTTTGAATCTTTTTTCTTTAAACTTTTCTTCTTTCACATGGATATAAGTGGAATTCAAATAAAATGCAGCTTTTTAAAATATCTGAGCTGACATCATCTTGATTGACTGATAGCTACTAAAATGTCTCTGCTGTCGCCAGAAATTTGTGATGTCAAAATGGGGTCACAAACCAAAAAAGGTTGGAAACTACTGAAATACTATAAAGTTCCTGACTGGATTTCATGGCGACAGATTTCAGGACCTTATAGATGTGATGATCAGGAGCGAAACTAACAGCAGGAGTTCTCCTGGTTCTACAGTTCTCCTCACACTGAATTGACCGTACAGTAGGTGTGAATGTGAGTGTTAATGGTTGTTTGTTTTTCTGTATGTGGTCACATGATGGACTGGAGAACATACCAGGGTACTAGCTGAATGAATAGTATATTTGTATTGAAATATATGTACGTACGTACGTATATATATACTGTATATATATTTATGTCTATATAAATGTATCTATCTAACTATACTGTATATCTGTGAAACTGTTGAATCATCCCGATGAAACATTTTGGCCAAACGCTGCAGTCTGCCTCCAAAAATATTTCGGTGGTGATTCTATTCTTCCTCATTAAATTCAACTTGACCCTTCATCTCTCCAGCATTCTAGATTTAGTGTAGCGCTGCTGCTTTGGGTCACAGCAACACAATATGTGAGTGCCCAGCGCCTGGTATGACTCAACCGTCCTCCCACCACAGTATCTTCTAAAATTACTGCTCCAGCAGTTCATCTATCTCATTACATTTACTGCAGAATCTGCTTCACGGAAAAAAAAAAAGAAAAAACAAAAACCCAGAGTGAACCAAAGCAGTGTCCACTTCAACAAATACAGTTTACATTTCCGGGCAGGCACCACACGCTCTCACACACACACATATACACACACAGTAGCTGAGGATTTTGTGACTCACTTTAATTTTTCATTAAACCACAGGGGGTTAAAGTGAATCACTAAAAATGTGGTTGTGTGGGAGCCAATTTATCACCTCAGTGCTGGGAGAAACCAGCTGGGTCAAGAGAGACTGACAAACTGCAAATTTTGGTCACAGCTGCCAAGACATGGCAGGCATGTTGATGTGTAGCAGGAATTACTCAAAATTATATATATATATATATATATATATGTATATATGTATATATATATACATATATACGTATATATGTATATATATACATATATATGTATATATATACATATATATGTATATATATACATATAATAATTTGAGTGACTGCAAATAGGGAGTGCATGTGGTCAGAACACATGACATACTACAGACTTTACTGTAAACACAACAGACTTACAGTAATTGCCATGGACACGGTGGCATGTAGACTAGCAGGGTCTAAGGGTAACTCAACAACAACCCAGATGAAAACCAGTTTTTACTATTTTACTACTCAGCCTTGCAAAGTCGTTCAATTCTGAAGTTTAACTTTGTTCACACCACTGACCCAAATCCACACTTTTATTCACATGTGACCCATATCTTACAGTCTGAACAGCAACAATCTTCACTTCAAACTTTTAAATCAGACCCATTTTCTTCTCTTAAAACTTTTATACTTTTATATTTAGTAGGTGGGTGAGTGAGGGTAGGGTAAATATTTTTTTATTTCTAATATTTCATATTGGTAAAGGTGTCAGGTAACGTTCCGTACCTTGACAGACGGGCTGCCTGCCGCTCCAGGTGCCGTTGTTGAGGCAGGTCCTCTCAGCTGAGCCAATCAGAGCGTACCCAGCCTCACAGCTGAAACGTAACAAGCTCTTGGTTTTGAATTCTTCTCCCCCCAGACGTGTACCGTGGGGCGGGGTCCCCGGGTCTCCACACTCTCCTGGACTCACACCTGTGGTGACATGAGGAAAATATTCCACTTCGACTTAGTCACTGTGTTTTACTCAAGCAGAATCTACGCTCATTATTTCTGCCACCCCTAGAAGAGTGGTTCTTAACCTACGGTACTCGTAGCACAGGTGAAAGAAAAGCAAACCAAAAGACAAGCACGAGATGCATGCCCGTCAGAGCTGAACACACTTCACACACTTAATTTGAAAAAACAGCTGCACAAACTGCACATCCATTACCCTCCTAATAGGTTTTAATGATTTTTTATTGTAAAATCATTAGGCGGGGGGGAGGGAAGGGAATTGGGGGGAGGCTGCCCCTGACAGATCCAATCACGACCCCTTATATAATGAAAAAGCTCAACAGCTACACGCAGTTTTGTTGTTTTATTCTATATTCTCTGCTGCAGCAAATGCATCATTTGAAAGCTAACTTTTTTCTTAAATAAATAAAATACAAACAAAAGTGCACAAAGACTCGGGTGGAGCGGTCAGACTCAGGTTCCATCCTGGGGAGGATCTGTGACTTAAACAGGGCACAGCTCTGAATGCAGCTTCTTGCATCTGAATGAGGTCTTCAGCTGCAGGAGGAATTCCGCCCTGCTGAGCCCTGTGTCCTGAAGACAGCAGAGGGAGCTCAGTGGAATGTAACGCAACCACGAAGACAGTGGAGGCAAAGTTTAAGGCCGAGCATCTGTAGTGTTGAAGGACATATACAATATGTATGTGTAGTTACACATATGTTTATAAATATATATACATATATGTGTGTGTGTTTATTGTATTTATATAAACACATCTATATATGTTAATATAAACAGCATACACATATAAAAATATATCCATATATGTACATACTTATATACTTACATATGTATATACACGTCCATAATGTGTTAACATTGTATATATATTTATATATGTATTTATGTATGTATATATGAACATAAATCTAAATTTAAATCAGTATTTGTTACACTGCTGCATTTTTACTTTAAACCAGCCTTACTTCCTGTGGGAACACCAGGTGTAGGATTAACCAGTCATACTATACTAAACTACGTAAATGTTAATTTTACATATAGAGTTGAAGGTGCTGCCTACAGGTGGCAGTCTTAAATCACTTAAAAAGTAATAACTCTTTTACAGGCATTCTTATCTCAAAGCCAAAACCTCACTGGAGCAACTTTTAATGATTCCTGACAGGACTGTAGGTGAAATAGCATAAATATATATTTTTTTATCGTGTGTCAAAAACACAGTAACTTAAAAAAGTTTCCTTGCAAGTAACTTGTTTTTAATTGCCTCAACATTGGTTCCTGTTAAAAAACAAAAAGGCTTTTAATTTAATTCTGCTGAACATTTCTCTAGACTAATTTTGTTTTATGTTTATTGAAGAAGTAAGAAGAAGTCTGGGTTTTCATTTGTCCTTTGAGTTTTTCTCTAAGTATTTTAAGAATAAAAACCTGTTGTTTCACTTTAGTTTTTTGTGTTAGACATCAACAGAAATTGTTGTTTTCTGTGTAACAAGTTTTATTAAAGCTCACATGTCATAGTGAACAAGGCAGTGTGCAGTACTCTTACCGGTGCAGTATGGAGGCGCTCCGCTCCAGGTGTTGTCCTCCTGACAATGACGAGTCGTGTTACCCACCAGCAACCCCCCAGGCAGACAGGAGTAGTGCAGCACTGAGCCATAGGTCCAGCTGCTGGCTCCGGTTACAACTGCATTCGGTGGAATCCCAGGGTCGCCGCAGGAAATTGCTGCACACAGTCAAAATAAGAATGTATAAAAACAGGAACTTGTAATGACCCTGATGTTTAATGTCCACCTAAAGCAGGGGTGCCAAACATATGGCCTGAGGGCCAAAACTGGCCCGCTTGATGCACTCTTAGATAAAAAATACACAAACATTTCATGTTCAGGAAATGTTTAGTAAAGTTACAGTATATTTCATTAAATATGAAGATTTATCGAATGTACGTTTGTGGATGAAAACAAAGGGTAGAAGACAGACTTGTTGTTATTTATAGGTAATTATGTTATGATTGTACTGGTCTGGCCCGCTTGACATCTAATTAGGTTGTATGTGGTCCCTGAACCAAAATTAGTTTGAGACCCTTGTCTTAAGGCCTGGTTCAACAGTGAGACATATGGAGCTTTTCATCTGTTCTCTGTGTTTGTTGTCCATGATCTGGTAAGTCATAAAAGGAGCATCAAGAAGAAGACAAAGACAGAACAACAGAAATCATCTACCGACGCCATGTTCGTTATGGCCCCAGAATTTAATTTAAAACTCTGGCCCCTAGTGGATGTACTGCTTAACGTCTATACCAAAAACAAGGCATGAATTGTAATATATGTGCAGTGATGTTTGACATAGACAAAAAAATTACATTTGCAAACATGAAACTACTCTTAAAGCCCGATGAGGTTGAAAAAAAACCTGCACTCCCTTGAATGTGATTTTATCAATGCTGAAGTATTGCTCGCATCATATTGACTTTACTTAATAATAATAGAAAAGAAACATGAAAAGAGTCTGCCCCTTCTTTTGTTAGATAAGAAATAGTATAAGTAGAAATTATTCCATAACATCAAAGCAACTAGAGTCACTGCAGAAATGTCATTTTTTCCAATTTTGTAAAAGATGAAGTTTTACAGCGCACAGGTTTCTGGAGGACACTGCACTCACAGTTTTTCTATTTCTGCCAAATGACTGGTCCTCTGATATCTGCCCTTACCCCCAAACTGTATTACTTCATCCTCTCCTTGCCCCACAGCCACAGCCCTCACTCCCCCCAATTTTCCAATAAAACCTTGTTTCGTGAATGTAATGCTGGGTGCACAGGCACCGGCGTGTCATCAGTATTCTGACCCCCTCTGTCTGACTCCTCATCTCGACCACTCTGTTACTGCTGCAGTCCTCTGTCTCTCTCTCTGAATCACTCCCATTCATTCTGCTGCTCTGGAGTTTAATCTTGTGTTTCTATCAGCCGTAGTAGCCGTCGGACAAGAGAACCAATGGCCCTTTCACACTACTACTCTTTTTTTTTTTCATCCTCCCCTGACATGACACACAAACACACATGCACACACAGGCTTTTACCTACCTGCAAACCTATCCTAGAAAAAAAATTTAAAAACATATCTGTGAAATTGTTATTTCCTAGAACGTCTGTCACCTTAGTTTTTCTGTAGGCTTTAGTACATAAGGATACATACATATACATACATATTTACATATATAAATGTATATAGACACACACGTGCATGTATACATATACATACATATATAAATATATATAGACACAGATAAATAAATACATACAGTATATACATAAATATATACAGTATTTGTTTATACATAAATACATACACAAATAATTTGAGACTATGTGATTTTGTCAATAAATACCTTGGCAGCGGGGGATTGGTCGATCCCATCGTCCATCATGCTGACATGTGAGCAGTGCTGAGCCCAGCAGGTAGAAGCCTCGCTTACAGTGTATCACCACGCTCACGCCGTAGCTGAAGACTTCTGGGTAACGTAGGCCCGACTGACGCACACCATTCTCCACGTGGCCAGGATCAGTACAGTTGACGACTGCGGCAGAGAAAAGGAATCACTGAAAGGCTTTCACTGCTGGACAGTTCCAATCAGAGGTGAAGTGGTTTCAGTGCTGACTAAATGAAGACAAAGCAGGACTGCTAATGACTCGGTGTATAAACAGAAACGAGACACGATGCTCACTCCTCTCAGCAGTATTGAACTTTACAGAACCAACCGCCACCGAACCACAGCAGGGTGTGACGGGTTTTTAGGGCACGTGGCCCTGAACCAGTGCTGCAGATCAAAAATGTCCTGACTTCACTGTTTCTCATTTGTGAACGGCTCCTTTGTCGCAGCCCGCTGTGGTCTTTGTTGGATTCTGCTCTGTTCACAACTTTTTCTAAGGTTTCCTCCAACGTCGCTCCACCCTTTGGGTAGATGCCAGTTCAAAAAAGTGAGTTTCGATTCTCCACAATTCATAGCAGAGACTGACACTGACTCAAAATCAAAATCAAGTCCATGGGGGATATACGGAGGGGTGTGTGCCTGAGTTGGGGGGTGCGTGTGTGTCTCTGGCACCCTACGGGAACAAAGAACATTTCTGAAAGTTAACTGACAGCAGTGTGCTGGAGAGAGGGGGAGACAAAGGGAGGGAGGGAGAGAGGGAAGGAGGGAAGAATATGGAGAGACGGTGGGAGTGTGTGAGGATGAACCTTATTGGTGGAAGAGCCTTGCTGAAATTTTTTTTCATTAAATCGGCTCCTGTGAGTGGGCTGCAAGGTTGAGTATTTGTATTTTCTTACACCACTAGTGACACGCTACCAGAAGTCCTGCTACGCAGCCACCAAACTCTATTATTATTACACTATACTAAACACGCTACCAGAAGTCCTGCTACGTAGACACCAAGAGTGTGTGATAGTCTAAGACTATCAGACACGCTACCAGAAGTCCTGCTACGTAGCCACCAAACTCTGAGTGTGTGTGCAAGAGTCTAAGACTATTAGAAAAAAATCTTTATGAAATCTATTATTATTACACTATACTATACTATACTATACTATACTATACTATACTATACTATACTGTACTGTACTACTATATTCTCCAAGTTGTTTTCTCTCCATACAATTCCTACCGAAATCAAACTCCTTCAAATGTTCTTTCAGTTTTGGGAAAATAACAAAAGCCAGAACTTCAAAAACAGCAGAAATATTCAAATTTCTTTTTAAAAATTCAGATCTGGTTTAAAAATTGTGAAACAGTTATCTTCAAGTAGACCACTGGAAGCCTTTCTGACTTGTGTTTGTATTCAGAAGTTCTCAGTGATTCATCGTTGTGGGTGTGATACCATGAATGCTGCCCCTTGTGGACCTGATCCATCACTGTGTGTGACCATTACTCAGTTCAGCTACAGTTCACCAGCAACAGAGTGAAACCAGTTGATACGAAATTCTAAAACACTACCTACTGCATAACTGACAAATATTTAGATGACTTAATCCCCCTGATGTTGTCACTGTATTTCACCAACTTTAATTTTCCCATGAGTCCATGGTTCAAAAACAATAATGAGCCGACCAGAAAAAGTGCACGGCTCCCAGGAGGCCATTTGTTGGTAAGGCACATTTAAAAAAACATCAGACGAAGAAACAAACAAACAAGATCATCTGTTGTAACGCTCATAAAAGTCATCAGGGTTCAAGCTGAAAATGAAGACGACAGATAATTAAACTGCACAATAAAGCATCATCATGGGACAATTACGACAACCGCACATCCCTCTCCTCAGCCTCTCAACTCCATGTCTCCCGGTCCACTTCATCCTCTAAACTCCACACGACATCCCCTCTGGTTCTGATCACCGTGTGCTCCGTTGGGTTTGTTTACTTTTCCTATTCTCGTGTGCTGAATAAAAGGAAAAAGCTTTTCTTGGAGTGATGTGTCCGAGGTACTTGTTGTCATGCTCAGCTGGGTTGAGCAAGAGTTACAGCTCGGCTGGGCCGTTTAATTGGACGACTGTAGATTTATTTAGAGAAATAAGTCCGGCTCCCGCGGGATGTGTGGCCTCCAGCCTTTCGCTCAGGCTTTTATTGTGTTTATTATTTTAGTTGGATGGTGAAGCCTGTCTGATGTGATGGTGGTCAAGTGCAAAATTCAGAAAAAAAAAAAACTCATTCTATTCGGACGTTTTAACCAGACATTGATATTTTAGTGAAGCCAGTTAATTAAAGCTCTGGGATTTGAGGAAAATGTGAAGCTGTTTGATCTGATGCTGCTTTTATGTTTATATCAGAATTATATGATTATACATTTTCATCACACAGAATTTCATAACAGCTCAGCTCCCGTCAGCTGTTCCTGGAGTATAAAATTTTATTCTGTTATTTGACCAGACGCAATGGGTTCCAGAACAATGAAAAACTTTTCCCAGAACAGATGCTAATGTGGTGCCTGTCCATTAGGCCAACCCACAAAGGCAAAGCTGTCGTGGCTGCCTTGTGATTTCTTTTTATAATGTGAATTTATTTTATTTTCCAGTGTATGTTGGTAACGACATCGTCTTCTGGGAACGGGACGGTCAAATAAGGTTTAACCCAGAAAATAGAGCCAGGATGTGCTGTGACTTCACAAATGTGTTATTGTTCATTTGTCATTCAACGTTTCACTTCTATGCAGATGACTTGCGACTTTATATGAGAATGAAAACAGGGGGAAATGATCTGAACGTCTTCATTTAAATGCAGCTTTGGCTCAGCAACAACCTTCGTCACTTTAGCTGAGATAAATCTAATCGATTTGTTTGGTAGCTCAGATGTGTACAACAGAGCTATGGCAGGCTGACTTCATTTAATAAAGACTGCGTTTACTTTGGACAGTGATCCTGAATTCACTCACTCACTCAATTCTTGATTAATCAACAAACAGCAATCGCCAGGTCCTCAATAAAAAAAAATGGGAAGGGCATTCATTTTCTTTGAGTTTCTTTTGTATTCTGTGGACCATTTACTTAAATAATGCGTGCACTGAGGCTAAGAAAAATGTTCTCTCTGTTTTTAGCTTTAGCGATTTCATTTATCTGTATTATTCAATGCTGTACTAAAACTAAGGAGTAGGAGTTACTCACCATCCTGTTTTGCTGTGAAAATCTTAATTTAAAATCTTAACTATTCTTGAATGGAGGTTTGATGGAAGGGAAACACTGATGCAAAAATCTCATTCTGCTTTTTCTCAAGTGGAAGAAAAAAAGGCATGGAAACCAATCAGAGGAACTCTGAGGCTTCAGCAGAGATCTAATGTAAGCCTGGCGTAATGTATGAGCTCCTGACCTTTGCAGACAGGCAGCGGGCTGCTCCACTGTCCGTTGAGACGACACTGAGCACGGGCGTTGCCACTCAGGATGTAACCTCTGTTACAGGTGAAGTTGACGACGTCGTTGAGGTTGAACTCGCTGCCATTAGTCCGTCCATTTACCGGGTTTCCAGGGTGACCGCAAGTGATTGCTGAAGAAGGAGAGCAAAGAGTGCGGAAAATGTGTTACTGCGCTGACATTTGAAAAAGATGTGTGGTTTCTGTCGCATCACTCTCCAACGTGCAGCTTCGTTTTTGTTTACGTAGAACTCAAACATCCTCCAGTTCCATGAACTGTTGTTTCTGTGAAGAGGTTTTTTTTATTTTTCAATCTTTCACACAATATCATCATCATATCATATACTTCATAGTTTTATATAATAATCTGGAATTTCTCTGCAGCCATTTAGGTGGAGAATACGTATATTTTTCCATCTATATCATTTAAAAATAATGAATAAAAGAGTTAGATACAAAATGGAAGTAAAAATAAATAACATACGTTGTATCAATATGTTGTAAAGAAATTATAAAAATAATTATTGGCTACGTTAGAAATATACATGAACAAATAAATGTAATTTTGACACACATTTATTTTAATGCTGCAAATAAATTTTGTTTTGTTGTTCCAAAAAATAGTCTTTATTGAAGTTCTATTGAAACAGATTTTTTTTGGAACAAATAATTAGTGGTTCTTTTCTTTTGATTATCTTTAAATAAAGAAAGTAAATGACTATGATTGGACTTTCTTTGAATGAAGTTCAAACACCGCTGCTCTACATGAACTGGAACAGTAGCAGTAAATAATGAGCAGCGTGCAAATGCAGCCTGTTTGGTTTATTAGAGTACTTACGGACGCAGACAGGTGTTGTTCCGGACCACCGATGGTCTTGCTGACAGATTCTAACTGATGTGCCAATTAGACGATATCCTAACATGCACTGGTACACCACGGTGTCACGGTAACTCGACCCGTCTCCGCTGATGTGTCCGTTGACTATGGGATCCGGAGAGTCACAGTGACCGGCTGGAAGGCAGAAAACGACATAGTTGGATTTTTAAATCATGTCGTCTGGTGACAGCAGTCTGAGGGCTGAGGCAGTTACAGGTGCATAAAAAGGTACATTCAAACCATCTGTCCTCACGTGTTCTAAAAGTGGCCCCTGCAGAACTGCACCCTTTTAAGGTTTGTTCAAACCCAAGCCCATCATTTAAAGGACACTTCTCGAGAGTTTCGGTGCAGAGGACTGTTAAAATGCAATCAGTATAATTTCATCCATTCTTTACCTCTATGTCGCCTTTGCCTTATGTGACTGGGCTCTGACAGCCCATGATGACTTTGATAATATGTTTCACCTAACGGATGATTCAGAGAATATTGTTGATGTCCTACTGATATTAATAAATATATACTCTGGGAAATCACAGCTGCTAAAACTGTTGACAGCAGTAGACACGCTGCACAAACTCCTCTCCTAAATACATTATATCTGTTCTGTAAAATTGAACCTAATTGGGATTCAAACCAAGAATCAGCTGCTGGCACTCAAATTAACTGCTGTGCCTCCCGTGCAGAATCTGAAAGCACTGCAATACTTATGATCTGTTGGTAATTAGAACTCATTATGTTCAGATTGATGGTGAACTTTTGTTTAAAGCTCTGTGCTGTGTGTCAGAAATAGAAATTGCTCCACATGGAGAAGTGGTCACGGGATGAAGCCCCAAAAATACCCTGAGACTTCCCAGTGGACAGAGGTCAGGTGACACTTTGTACTGGTACATACAGATGGAGGCATGTCTTGTAGTTCTTTTTATTTATTTATTTATTTTTTAGGTAAAACACTGATTACAGTGTAACATGGTTCAGATGACAGTAGGTGGTTTTGGTCAGACGTCCTAACTGACTTTTATCTATTAGACCGAGCCTCTGTCTCTGAACCGTAGCGTCATAGCAGATCTCACTACGGTGACTTCTTTACTTTGCTGCCATTCTTTTATCTTCTGTGCCTGCATCATATTGTCAAACAGTTTGTCAAATATCGCTCCGTATTACAAATCGGATTAATTGTCATCAATTAAATGGCAAAGTCTCTGATTAAAGCAATTGTCAGCGTCTAAATAACAGAATCTAAGAGGCTGAGAGCTGCCTCTGATGTACTGTAGTTCCTGCTTGTTGACTTCTCAAGGACCACGACTTGCGCCACACAACGACATATATTCACCAGGTGGAGCTCTGATTATTATGCATGAATACTTGAAGCATTGGTGAAGTTGAACACATGGGATCTGGGGTGAAAATGACTGAGTCTATGATTTATTCATTAGAAAAAAAAAAGTCAGCATTAAACTGAGAACAGCTTTGGGTGTGATTTTATGTGGTGTCGTCAGTGGAAGTGAGAGCAAACTCATTTAAAGATTTTTTAAATATATATATACATATTAAAAAAAGGTATGTACTCCACTCATCCCCAAGGTTACATCACGGTGGTAGACTGTCCATGTAAAATCAGAATTAATCATCTCTGGTCAGTGCTTACTGGAGGCTTAAATAACACCTTTAATGTAATAAGTGATAAAATGCCTCAGACACTGGTTTATCATTTGAGTTACTCAGGCATGGGCACCGTTTATCCTACTTATTGCTGCTCTCACTTTCACTGACGACACCTAAGAACAGCACGTCTTACTGAAGATTACGTCTTAAATAACAGCCCTCCGACTGTTCACACCTCCAGCCCCCGACATTGGGTTTTCACCCGCTGGTTTCAGCCGGTGGGAAACTACTGCTCTAAATATTAGGCCTCTGGCCTTCAGTGAAATCAGGAGTGGAGTCCTTCAACAAGCAGGATGTGACTTAGTGCCAACATCCTCAACGGTTCTACAGAAAAGGAAAAACTCTCAGCTTGCACAGGTGTTTAGAATCAAATAAAATGTAAAAAAAAAACTAAAAAAAAACTCTAAAAACCTTTTGACTTTGCCTCAAATTCACGGCTGATTCTCAGTTTTTGCTGTTTGAAAGTGGACATACTGCTTTGATCAAATGATACGCCTTTATTTAATCTGTCTTTACTTTGGCAGCAGTGTGTATGTGTGTGGGGGGGGGGGATGGGGGGGGTTCTTACTTTGGTCGGCCAAATCTTTTTAATTGGTCCTGTGCGATCTGTCTCGTCCCACATTATTTTAGGGCACTTTACTTAACACGGCCAAGAACTTTTTTTTTTTCCTCATATAATTATCAAATACTTAGAGCAAGAAATAACTTTATATAGACAGCAGGACCAAGAAGAGAGAAACCAGATCAGAGATACGTCTCAAATCAAGTCATTACGTGACAGCAACCTGGATTATTCTGAAAGTTTGAAATTAAAATACAAATGGAAAATATTGTCAGGTTCCTCGGTGTCTTCGAGCCCAGACTTACAGACTCTGCTGAATATTTTATCATCCATACATATCTGTTTGCCTCTATTCTAAATTATGAATGGACACTGAGGCCTGTTGGACTCACTTTGATTACCAATCTCACAGTTAATTTTTATGACTAAGTGTCTAAGGTCAGGACACAGTATACAGTACACGGCATCAAATTTAATGACCCTTACCCAGACACCTGGTTTCTGCTCCGCTCCACAGCCCATTAGCGCCACACTCTCTGACATGTGACCCCACCAGGGTGTAGCCATGGTTACAGATAAAGATTGCAGTTGCTCCAAATGTGGTCAAGGTTCCCAGTTTGGTGCCAAAGGGTGGAGTGGGAAGTTCTCCACAGGAGATGACTGAATACGAAAAAAACAACAGAGAACGATGAGGAATATAGAGGAAAATACAAAGGAAATACAAAGGAAATACAGTGTTTTACAGTTGTTAAAGGAAAAGTTCATGAAAGTTCATCTCTACAACCCACGGTTCACCTCTGTGTTTCCAGAGAAACTCTTGAGGCAGGTACAACCTGCTTTTATTAGTAGCTTTGTAATTATTTGCCTCCGACATTTTGCACTGCCAGGTCTTCAGGACATTAGGTAAGACAGATAAAATGTTGCAAGGCCTAAATTAAAACCAATCCAATATAAGTGACTGAATAAGATTTAGGTCAGAGGATTTAAGACCCACTTTTGTCCCTAATTCCTCGGGGACATTGTTTGCAAACCGTTGGCTGGGTTGAAGAATGGTCACTGCTATTCACTGCCAAATTGTCTCAAAGCTGCTGCAGAGTTTTGTGAGCTGGGTCATTACTAATGGTATAAATGTGGAAGATTTAACATGGTCACATTCAATGTTTTATGTTGCATGAATTCTACAGAAAATATATAAAAAAAAGTCACATTGAGTTATGACCCTCTAACATACAAACAGGCAGTTGAAATTAAATGCAGGCAGTAGTTTTTTTCTGTTGCAATTTGTTAGCACATTTTATAAAGCTGAGTCCAGCTGGTTCTATGACGAACACAGAAAGAGCTGGTATTCTAAAACAGGAAAGAAAATCCGTGTAAAGTGTAGTTTGTGGCGGCGGCAGTAACGTGACTCCAGTGCGTCTTTTGCTTACGCCGGTGTTCCTCATTTAATCACTGGTTTTATGGTTCCTCATCCATGAAAGTCATTACCTTAAGTAACCGAGTTCACGTGAGATTTTGTTGAGCACAAGTGAGCAAAATAATTCATGATGACAATTTTTTTTTTAAATAACTCCAAATTCCAGCGTAAGACATGCAGGTGCAGTAAAATAATTGTTGTGGAATGATGATTGTGGAGTTAAATCCTCCTCTTCTTCAGGGTCTCGTGCGTGTCTGTTGTAGTGTCTGTACTGATGGTCGTCAAACAGAATGATCACGACTTACTTTTGCACGTAGCTGCGTTATCTGAACCCTCCCAGGTCCCATTGGAGAGGCAGCGAAGTGTCCGATGTCCTACACCTAAGTAGTAACCGGTGGAACATTCCAGCATCACCATAGACCCAAACTCTCCCGGCCGACCGTGAAACAGGTGGTAGGTCATGTGATCGGACAGGACGCCCTCAATGCTGGGGCAGTGAACCGCTGCAAGACGAAAGTTTAATGAAATGTGAATTAAAACAGATTATTTTTTAAAGCCTGAAACCAAATCATGAAATAAATAATAAAAAACACAATCTTCTGTAATTAGAAGTACATATAAGGGCTCATTAAAATGTTGAACTTTATTTAACGGTTATTGTCAAGAGAAAATCACCCTTTGGAAAGTGTTCTCAGAATGAAGTACATTTTAATTACAGTATTTACGTAATCAGTGATTGATTTTTATTTTTACTTTACTGCTTTTTTTTTTTTTGCCAAATTCTCCATTAATAGTGCTGCGGTGATGAACATTTTACTGTAAAAATACAACAGCCACCTACTGGGCATTGAGTTAAAATATTATAGTGAAAACAATAAAAAAAAAACAAAAAACCCACGTAGGCATCTCGGTGGTGAGGCAACATTGCTCCAGGTACCATCGTCAAAACACACAGTTGTGGTTAAGGCACCGGGGTCCAGGTGGTATCCATTGTTACACTGATAGGTGACCTGGCTGCCGACGGTGTACTGGTACGCGTGGAAGCTGCCGTTGCCTGGTGACTGAGGGATTCCACACGATACAGCTGCCACGAGACAAAGACAACCAGTGAGGACCGACTTTACTAAGTTGACAGGAAGTTGGATCTCAGACGTTTAGACTTTGCTTTAGAAACTGAGGGAGTAATGAAGGAGTAAAAAGACATCAGAACCAGTACCTTGACAAAAAGGCATTGGCGCGTCCCACTGGTAAAGCCCGTTGGTATGCAGCCGGCAGGTGGAATTGGCTGACCCCACCAGGCGATAACCACGGTTACAAAAGAACTGAAGTCGGCTGCCTGGGCGGAGCTTAGTTCTGTTGACCACGCCACCATTCGCTGGGGGATCGTTAATGCTACAGTAGGCAGCTACAGATGACAGAAAAGAAACATTATTGTTATTAAGTTCTGGAAGTTAAATACAAAGAAGAATATTTACATTTAGAAAAACAACAAATGTAAAAAACAATATTGTTACAGGAACTTTCTTTAGCCCTCTTGCTTTGTTACAGGAACTTTCTTTAGCCCTCTTTATGTTGTTCAGGGTTTTAGGCAGTTTTGTCTTGTCATAACTCTCTCATAGTTATGTTTTAGCTTTTAGTGCTTAGCTCGCTTTAAAAACTGAGTTAGCTTTCACTGCTAAGTTGGCTTCTTTATATATTTATTTATTTAGTGGCAATTACAAAATTACTATCAAGATCATTGGTTTTCATTTTTTATGCATTTTTAATCACTTGAATAAGTCAGGACAGTTCTAGAAAAACATGGACAGAATCAAAGCAGCAATAATCAAATCCATATCACCATAAATGTTCATTTTTATTTTTATTTGTTAACAATGCAATAATTACAGCCATTATAGTATATTAACAGGGCTGTGAGGGAGGCATACAAAGACAGGGTGGGGGTCATTGACCACCTGGTCCAGACCCTTCACCAGCTTTGACTGGTGAAATGATGTTACTAGGACAAAAAAAACCCAAAAAAATGATGTTACTAGGACAAAAAAAAAAAACAACCCACCACTACACCTCTAAATTCCATTCTGATCTAAAAGACGTGAACTTCAAAGAGGTATCTTAAGACTCTGTCACTCATTTGGACTGATAGGAAATCTACTTTTATGTCTTTGATCTTCTCTCTCGCATTAACGTTCTCTGGTTTCAGACGTATTCAAAGCCATTTTAGAAGCTTAATTAAAAACAAATTCCTCTTGAAAAAACACAAGATCTCAGACAAGCGAGTATATCAGAGGGTTATTTGCAGTTTAATACTACACTGAATGCAGGACTGTATTTCAAAGTATCTTTAATAATGTGAATTTTTTTCATCTTAAACTGTATCATGACACAAAAAAGAAAAATAAGTTGTTTTCCTCGAAGGACCCTCAGATATAATACTTTTTTATTATCCACAAATACTTCTTCAAAGAAATGAAAAAGTGAAGCCACCAATAGGCCACAAATATATCCTTGTAATAAGTATAAACAAATAAACATTTATATGCAGACCACGACGTCTGTAGTGTCTTTAAATATAAAGTACGCCAGTGCATGAAGTGTGTATTGGCAGTGAAAAACCTCCTAAAAACGTCCCTGCGCTCTGTATAGCTGCAGTTGTCAGGGCAATACAACATCGCAGGGAGAAGACAATGCTATTACTTCAGGCCATTGTGCTGATATAACCTACAAAATAAATCACACTTTTTTTTTCTCAGGCGTAGAGACACAGGAGATTGACTCGGTGACTCATACCTCTAAAGCTCAAACAGGATCAGTATCTCTGTAAATTGCATTTTCTGTCACCGTGATTGGCGGAAATATTCGGTGCATTTTTCGCAAGTTAAACCTTGTGATTTTGGGGCAAATGCAGCGAAAACACACCACTGTGTTAGCAGTAAGGACTTCACCCGGGTTGGAGTGAAAAAAAAATACTTTCTACAGCTTTTAGAAAGTGATCCAGGAATGTGAAAGTACCTGAGTAACGTATCTTAAACCCTCTCTTGTTGGTTGCGTGGTCCGTGGACCACCTGAGGTACAGCTGGTTTGTTTTAGACGTGAAGTTGAGCTGAGATGAGTGGTTACCACTCAGAGCAACGAGCAGAGGGCTTTGTCCTGAGGATCCTTGAAAAACAAGGAAGGAGCAAAAATTGGCAGGTTAAAAAAAGATTTAAGGATCAGCTAACTGTACTGTGTGTGTATATACATTAACATATATACATATATATATATTTAAAAACACTTGAATTGTAGATGTATATTTATATATTTACACATACACATTTATGTAGGTACAGTATGTATCTATCTATATATATATATATTTAAAAACACGTGAATTGTAGATGTATATTTATATATTTACACATACACATCTATGTAGGTAGAGTATGTATCTATCTATATATATATATATTTGTATATATGTATAAATATATATATATATATTTACATATATTTATCTGTGTGTGTACAAAATAACTATGAAATTGTAAATTCCAGATGTATTTACCATCAAAAATCTCCAGTTCATCAAACTGTTTCTCACTGTGGAACATCTCTACATAGATATTGAGGGTGTAACCTGAGAAGAAAGAAAAAAATATTTTACATTCATCTCTTACAATGCCATAGTAAACCAAACACAGACACATGTGAACCAGTAATATTCAACACCAAAGCTACATTATGATGTATATATACTCAGTACACCAAAGCTACATTATGATGTATATAATCAGAACTCAGTAAAGAGTAAAGGTAACCTCTAGTTAGCCTTAAATAGCATTTTAGCCAAAACATTCTTACAAAGCTGACTGTTTTTCTTTCAGGATTTTTTAGCTTGTGTGTTTTATGTGTTAACACAAAAAGAAATGACTCATCCTGTACCCGGAACCATCCGTAAAAGCCAGGAGCATGTTTGGCTGTTGGGGTAGTTACTGGGGAAACCAGGGCTCAGAATGACCCCTGATGATGAAGACCTCTCCTCGTTGGCTGGACATTGGGCTGGAGGGTGAAAAAAAAACCAAAGTCCATTCATCTGGTCAGCTCAGGTCATCTTAATTTAGCTCAGACTGGGCCTCGCTGTTAGTTTGAAATATCTGCAGCTGCAGGTGAACTAAACAATAACTCGTCTAGATGTCGAAATAGAAGAAAAATGGAGAAACATATCGCAACAAGACCCCCGTCATGTGACCCACTGGATTTGGCCCTACCTTGACAAGCTGGTGCTGGAGATTCAAAGGCCAGATGAGAGTTGAGTTTGCACATTAGCTCAGCTTTCCCGACCAGCGTGAATCCTGGCAAACATCGGTACTTGACAATATCACCTGACACAAACAAAAACAGTGAAAATATTAGCTACTTTAACATTATCAAATACTCTACAACATTTTATCTCATCTTTCCTTCTGTCACTCATACACAGATAGTGTGTACTGCATTTAAGTGATACTTCAAGACTCAGATGATAAAACCTTTTTCAGTGGTTAAAAATAACTCTGGCATCTGACCACACTGGAGGTGAATTGATTCTTCTGCACTTTTACAAAATGTCTACGTTTAAAGAATTACAACGTTAAAAGGTCACAAAACCTAAGTGAAAAATGCTGTGAGAAAAAAAATACTGTGCTGAAGAAAATGGAAAACCTGGCAAGTGATAATTATTTCACCCAAGTTGCAGGGTTCTGCTCTTTGAAGGTTAGGGACAGGTGCAGAAGATACGATGTCAGGTTCTAGTCTCAGGATTTGACTTGAACCTGGACCCAAATGATCTGATGGAATTATACGGTTTTTTGACATATAACTGTGCTGGTAAAAATTAGTGACCATTGTCAAAAAAAGAAAAAAACACCAAAAGGTCAAAGAATAGGCTATTGGTGAAAATTGAGTGGCAAAATAAATAATGGTTGAACAGTATTCATTAACCAAGAACTCTTACCAATCTGAAAGTCTTCGTCTTCATAAATCACTTCCGCATTCTCCACAGTAGGGGGCGGGGAGCACTTCTTCAGACGGTAGGCTGCAGAAATGAATAGAATAAAAATTTGTTTTAAAAATGTGAAGTAAAAGACAAAGAATGCCTGACTTTACCAGTTGAGTACTGGAATGTAGCTGCTACTGCAGAAAGAAGTCGCTCAGACCCAGACACTAACAAAATAAAGGCTTAAAGAAGTTTTATTTTGAAAGGTATGGAGCCTTAAGGGTCTCTCAATATCTGTCGGCTTCATGGATGTATAAACGGGAGGTTCCCGTAGCTGCAGTAAATGGTTCAGAATATTTAGTAAAAAAAAAACAAAACAAAAATGTATTTTCCCCTTACCTCATCTCCCACTTAAATAAAGGTCTATACAGTGCATGGGTGAAGAACAAAATGTTCCAAACCACAAAAACAAGATGTCAAAACTATTGCAGCATCTGCCCTAATGGTACAGCAGCATTCAATTTGTGAAGAAGAAAAAAAAACACAGCAACTGATGTCAGTGACAGTGAGGCATCAGTTAGGAAACCAGAACCTCAGGCTACACAACAGAAACCACACTTCACTGCGTGATTAATAAAGTAGTAGGTTTATTATTTTAAATCTGCAGAGACAGTGTCTGTGGGGAGGAGTGCCATGGATTTACTTGGTGAAATTATCACTAAATATCTGATCATCAACATCATGTAGGGAGTACAATGTTTTACACTGGTCTTCTGGTTTTCTGTCATGCCACCCCCTTGAGGATAGAAATGTTTTCACCCCCCCCCCCGACCCTCCAACCTACACTCTTCAAATTACAATACTACTAAGAACCTGATAACATGTATATTTTTATCTGTACAAACCACTGTATGAGTTGCTGCCACCTAGTGACTGGAGGCTTGTTATCATTCAAGCATTACAGCAGTAGTTCACTTATGTCCACCGTGCAATATTCCATTGGAAGCCCCTCACGCCCCCTCCTGGCACCTCACTGCGCCCCCACAAAGAAGCCCGCCCCACGATTTGAGTACTGGTCTAAACAAATGACAACACGGACTATATCCAGTAGGATTAAAATAAACAAAACTAAATTGACTTTACCAAGAAAAATTATATTAGCGTGAGGCAAACTTTTTAGGAACAGTTAAAAATATGGATTTGACCTGAGAGAGATGTTTTTTTTTTTGCCAATATTCTGAATAAAACATGAGTGAACAATAACAAGGGCATCATTAGTTACTTCATTTCAGAACACATTTTCCTGTCCCGCAGTCTGAATTAGGAATTCAGTAATGACTTTGAGAAAGAGTCGTTGGCTTGAAATACAGCTGAAAAAACCCCACAAAAAACTGAAAGAGAAGGAAAACAACCCTCAGTCACTGATGACCTCACGCAGACTGAGCTGTTTACATAATGTGTCATCTCTAAGATGTTTTGTGCTAAAGTAAACACTTGAAATACAGCTGTCCAGAAATAGACCCCTCGTACGGCAGGTGAAGAAAACAAACGCCAGACTCCAGCGTCTCTAATTCTGTACATCTGACACCGATGACCTCATCTTTTCTCCCATCAACACCAAACACAGCCTCTAGAAAAACTTTTTAAACCACTGGAAACTAAATTTAACAAGTTGAGGGGATTTTTGGTGAAAATGTGACATTGTTCACTCAGACCTTGAAGCCGTAGCCTTAAAAGCGACAACATTCTTTTGTGCTGCATCCAGTTATTAATTGAGAAAATAGGGCAGTGAGTTATTTCACCTCAACTTCATCAAAAACACAGCGCTGTCAATCAGCACTTTGCTCGATTCTCCAAAAGAGTATCTGAAAAACTGTACCACTGATGCAGCCCAGTAGGTGGCAGTAAAGCCCCAAAGAAGAAGGTATGCAGGATGCTTGGAGTGACATCAGTGCACCAAGTGCTAGACTGGTGCTGTGGTAGGACCACGGTTAGTTTCCAGAAGATTACAGGATCAATAACAATGGTTTATGTCAGGATGGGCTAGCGCTGTGACGACTACTAAAGAAGGGACACGTTGAAAAATGATTCTACATTTACATTTGTGTAACTTTTAAACCACGTTTGACCGTTCTGGTGGGTGTTTTACTAATTGATTACGTTTTCATACAACAACATATTTAAGACTTGGCTTCAACTGAATCGGCAGATCTGAACAGGAGTGATTCAAATTTCTGGTTCTTGCACCATGTTTTTTTAACATTTATATTCTGAAACTAATAAAAATGTTGTTTTGCCAAACTTTGTCACGACTGAAGTCTGAGTCAAACAGTTTCCCTACCGTGAAAGTTGAGAATGAAGAAGCCTCCTGTGGAAAAGTCCGAGTGAAAGCGGATCAGGACATTTGGGCTGGTACTGTAGGCCGTCTCTAAGGCCGTGTTCCCGCTGAAAACTCCAAGCTGTGGGCTTGATGTGTCTGGACCGTCCCTACAAGAAGAAGAAAATAAATCAGAAACAATCAAGTGAAACTGCTGAGATTTAAATAAATAGAGAATCCACCTGTGGGGAATGGGCGACCGGTGAGAAGCCAAAATAACACAGTACTGTTGATGTACTGTAGTATTTGAAATAGCACAGACAAATTAGGGATGGCTTGACACAACCTTTTCACACCTGATACCGAGACTGCAACTTGGAGTATCTGTCGATACCAATATCAATCCGATACCTTCATTTTTCTCAAGTATGCTGCGGACTGTCGTTGCTATGGTGATAGAGACCCTGTTTATGTCAAGATAAGTTAAGGCTGAGCATTCGGGCTTAGGTACAGGATTGAAATTGTGACCGATATCAGACTGATACTGATCCAAAGATTTAACTGAATACGGCCTTAAACCATTACAGAGCCTGTACAGTGGTATTGGAGTTTGTATGTGCTTAAAGTTTCCTCAAACTTCCTCAAAGTTTCCTCAAATATGTTCCAAAACACCATTAGTAATGACCTGTAGTTGTTCCCACTCTGTGTCAAACCTTCAAAAAAACATTTTTGTCACCAAGCTTTTCATTCTGACCATTTCTTTCTCAAAAAGCACACTCTGAATGAAGTATGAAACACCTCACTAAATATCCTGAGTGCTTTTGCCTTTTTCAGTACAACATAAAAAAACACAAGTTGCCACAGACTCATGAACAACACTGCACATTAAAGTTTATAAATTATGCATCGCACCGGACACTGGGCAGAGAATATGGAGTGTGTTTGTGAATAATTAATATCAATTAGAACTTTAAAAATAAATATCAACGTGAGGAATGGTTTTAAATCTTTGGGCATGGAAACTGAGAATTACTTAACTACTGTATGTTTGTAAACGATTGTGTGAAATGTTGAATTTTATAACCAGAGGAAAGGGAAACCGAAGCAGCCGTAGTAAACATCGTACGAACCAGTGGGCTGTTCACTGACCGGCCGACATTTTTCACTTCTCTCTGCTTTTTCAACCTTTCCAAAAAGTTTACTGAACAAAGCCTGTGGATTTATATGCCAGACTTTATTCATTAAACAAGCGTTCCATCTTCCAAACTTATTTCATGCCCAGTGTTGGGTTTTTAATGAACCTGCCAATAGATTAAACAAGGAATTTAAAATTTTAATTTATGAGTTGCACCTTGGCTCTCCTGGCTCTTCAATAATTCAAGGTGTTCTGGAGGTGTCTGGGATCTTCAGAGGATCAAAATGTGATTTTTTTTATAAAAGGAATTAAATTCCAAAATTACTTTTTAAAAATTATACTTATTCCAGTATTGTGGCTTTTGTAAACTAACCCTTTATGCAAAGATGGAAATTACAATAGTTTCTGTATGAACTCAGGTTTTTTTAATGACATTCATGCCTTCATTAGTGCTGCAGGGTAACTGATCATGTTGCAACAACTAATGCAAGATATGATGAATATGTTTAAGCATAAAACATTGGCGTCCAGATTAACGAAGCAGCAGAGAGAGAGCGTCCGGTCACTTCTTTAAACTGGGTTAAATGAACGACCAGGAGAATGAATGTCTTTTTATGAGAGCTGTGTTGGGATGAGAGTGAGGATGGAAAGACTGGGCTGTTATTTATGACTCATCACAAATTAAATCCTCGCAGCTAAAGCAATGTTTTAGGAACAAATTACTTTACCTGATGTCTCAACTTTGATTTACTTTTATACAATGACCAATAAACCCTCCCACCCCGAAGAAAAAAAAAACCCAACAACCTAAGGTGTTCATCAGGAAGTCTCATTTAATCAATAATAGAACTGCCATCAAACCAATCATCTCCATCCCAGGGCATTCATTTTGACATAAAACTTTCTAAATTAACCATTTTACCTTCAGTAAATAGAAAGCATGCTCCCAATCACTCACTTGTTAACCCTGCTGCTCCCACCAGGGAGCGTGTGTCGCTCTCAACACACTGTGCAATTTAAAGAAAAAAATCAAATCACCTGCTCATTCTCCTGCTACTTCAGTCATGTGATGTCACCAATTGTGTTTTAACGAACAACATTGTAGAGTAGACCAGGGGTTTCAAACTGAAATGAACTGAGGGCCACTGCTGCCACCAACATGTTCTAGCAGGACCACGACAGTGATCAATGTCAAATGGGGTATTTTTAGAATCGTAGAAGTATGTTTTCATATTCATGTTTTTTTTTCTTATCCCATCAATCTTTACAAAGAGACTGTATTGTCCACTCAAGTGGGATGTAAATGGAGAAAAATATGACCAAATATTGCAAAAAAATAAAAAATGTTGGCCAAATATTACACAAAATGAAATCATCAGAGGACTGTCCAAATATTGACCAGAAGATAAATGCAGCAAAATAGGATTAGGTTTCAAAAAATATAGGATTGTCATTAATCCGAGCTCCGCTTTGCTCATAATTGGACTACACTACATTACGGTTGTGTATCTTACATTACTTCTTAAACCTACCAGAAGTGAAGCACATTTGCTTCTCACCAGGCAAACAAAAAATGTGCCAAAAACTCAAACACAGTACAAGAGTGAGCCAGACAAATGTTGGAAGAAACAAAACAAAAACGAACAGTCACCGAGCAAGGACTACGGCTCTGGCAGAGAGAAATACGACCGAGGTCACTGATGCAACAACCTATGATCTGCCTGACAACAACTGGAAGGCAATTACTAATGTTCCACCTGTGTCGAAATCTCTGTGATGTGCATCTGCAGTGCAGATAATAATGGAGGAATGTTTTTGAAAGCTGCAGTCGGACAGATCAGAGAAAAGGATGATTTTTCAGTTCCATCAATGGCCGTCTGTGTACTTCACCAGACCAGACGAAAACCTCTCTGCTTTCCAGACAGATACTTTATAGATTACGACAGAAGATGAAGGTGACGTCTACACCTGTTTTTCCACCTGCTGTCTTAAGACTTTTTTTTTCTCATCAGCCATGTTTTACTTTGTTTTTACTTTGTAGCTAGTTGTTAAGCTAAGCCTTGGTTATTTACGGTATGGAATCTGCCTCACAGTCTTGTCGACAGTCGTGCCCTCCAGCCAACAGAACAGTCCTAACTGGTCTACTTCTGGAACGAGATTCTTTTTTCTCATCTCTTTTAGCTCGTTCAACATTTTTTCAAATGTTCAAAAACAATTAAAACAAAGTTTAATTGTTTAAACTAAAGAGGGTTGTTTTTAGCACCAGACTCTTGTTTGACTGTGGATTTGCCTTGTTAGTTATTACATAGTTCTTATGAAATAATTCCCAAAAATAGGCAACATATTTTTTTGGAATATTTGATTCTATCCAGCTGACCATAACCTCGGGGCCAGAGTCCATGTGAAGCTCATGAAAACTGATGTTTAACTGGGTCTGAAAAGAGAACTCAGTTCCCAGTCAGTGAAATACATTCATGTGCTTGGAGCTAATGCTAGATCGAGCAGCAAAACAGTCCATCTGTATGCACTGATCTCCCATTACTGGTGCATTTTATGACTGTACCAGCTCATGAACATGATTTTATAATTCAGTCAGCAATGAAATGTGCAAAAAAGAAAAAAAAAACATGAATCACAAAAATCAATTTCCAACCGTAGAATAACTTCAACACTGCACTGCTGCACTTCTGTATTCATGGCTTTGCGCTCGCTGTCCGGAATAAAAGTGAATAGTCACTGAGTGTGAATGCATTACTTTTCCACAGTCTGAATTTCATTAACACCAAATCCTGGAACAAACTTCACATTTTTCTTTACTGAACCAAACCTTCACCAAACGTGTTTATCACACATGGCGTCAAATAAAGCCATTAAAATGATAAATCCTTTGCAACCTGATCTTACTGGTGAGATCCTGCCAAGTGGGAAGGTCTTTGTAGACCGGGGTCCACCGACCTGCCATTCTATTTTTATTACATTTTCCTCTCCCAAGTGATTCTCATCATCACTGCCGGAGATCCTGAGGCCGTCTCGGGCCTGTGTATGGCTGTGGTTCAGATTGAATTGGTCAGTGGTCCCATTTTAAATGCATTACCCCTCACACTGCCTCTACTACAATTTTAGCTCTCCACTCCATCCCATTATTACTGCAAAGGGGGTTGACCTTATTACATATAGATCTGTGTGGGTTTATTCAACATCTCCATGTATGATGAAATCACAATAAGGTGACTTGATTGGCTGCCAGTTCTTTTTTGATACGATGAACTAGATAACGCAGAGCGCCAACCTCCGACACAGCTGCTCGGTGTCGGTCGATACACTCAGGTCATCAGCATAGAAAATGATTTCTTCCTTAGGCTGTGACCCACATACCCAGAACATCTCATCCACTTTTGTACTTCACTTTTGAGGTACAATTCTACGTACTGACAGACAGAGGGACAGACTGGGCCGAATATAGAACACTTTCACAGTTTGCATTAAGATATGGCCCACTTTGGCCCAGACTTAACAAATGTGGGTCACACAGTGTCGACAAATACACGAGTTAGCCAGAATATTTGGTATATTTGTGTACTCATCAATACCGAGTACTGCCATTGTCATACTTCGGATGCAGTGTGGACACCAAGCAGGAAAAAACTTTTCAGTTTGATTTTCTTCTCATTAACAAACCACTCAAGTATTGTGTACTTGAGTATGAGTAAAACCCCAGATTACATGCTAAGTTGGTTACATTGGTAACTTATTTGTTGGGCAAGACGAAGGGATGTGACCTCAAAGTAGCAGCCCATATGTACTGTGTAAATCCAAACTCTTGGGACACATTTTTTTTAAGCACACGTGAAGATCCCTGGTTAGTACTGTCTGAGAAAGAACACCCTCTTGTGGCCCATTTTAAAACTTTTATTACATCGTTAAAGAAATGTCACACAGGTTGGCTGTATCAACACTGGGACACACTGGGGTTTGTCTAGAGCAGTGGTTCTCAATTATTCTCTGTCATGCTCCCCCTTGGGGACAGAAATGTTTTCACGCCCCCCCCAGAACGACACCTCCACGAATTGAAATACTACTAAGAACCTGATAACGTATATTTTTTATCTGTACAAACCACTGTATGAGTTGCTGCCACCTAGTGACTGGAGGCTTGTTCATCATTCGAGCACTACAGCAGTGGTACACTGATGTCCGTGGGCCATATTCCATTAGAAGTTCATCATTCGAGAACCACGCCCCACCAGGGGGGCCCGCCCCACTATTTGAGAAGTACTGGTCTAGAGGTTTGGGCCACAGGCCGTATGCTCTCTTGGGTAAAGAGGGCATCTGTTGACCTTGTCTTGTTCGGCCCATTTCCTTTGTGTGGCCCATTTACACCATGTGGACTAGACACAAAAATACTGCCTGTGATGAAAACAATAACAAAGACTTCTGTTATAGAGTTGTTGGTGTGTGTGTGTGTGTGTGTGTGACTGTGTGAGATCATGGTCCACGGAAATAGAAGTAGAGACAGGAAGAAGAATAAAAATAACAATGCAGGACCTAAGTGCGTCCAGGACTTAACCATCGATGATGCAATCAGAAACTGGACAAAAGGCTGGATCCTTTCAGAAAGACTGGTGGCACGAGTGCCAATGTGTGTGTGCGTGTGTATGTGCACGTGTGTGTGCACGGATAAAAAGGATGAATGTGAGCTGCACTTACCAGACAGCGATGTAATCAGTGACAGGCTCTGTCTGCAGCAGGGTGAAGTTGATATAAACTCCATGTCCGTGGGGAACGGTGAGGAGCCAGACACAGTCCTGGGAGTTGGGGTATTCACTGGGGTACTGTGGTGAATAGATGGTGCCGTTTTCAGCGGTGACATTATAGCCACAAGGAGCTGTAAAAATGCAGAGTTACTGTTATCATTCACACTTAGCTTTCTTGCAATGTGTACACCAGGACCTATCAAGGGAAACACAACGGATGAAAGATGTTTTCATTGGACTAAACCACCACTGTCCTCCTGCTGTGACAACATTCGTGATAGGAGCATTTCAATTGGTCAACCCTAAACTAAATTTAGAAACAAGAAACTGTCTGAGTCTGGTTACATCGGTGACATGTCAAGAAACTGTCTGAGTCTGGTTACATCAGTGACATGTCAAACTCAAAAAGAGGACAAAAAAAAAAAACAACTGTATTGACCACACTAAATACTGTGAGCATGTGACAACTGTATTGACCACACTAGATACTGTGAGCATAAGGTCAAGAAAGGCCGCACATTAGGTTGACTCTCATGACTAATGGCTATAAGCATGAGGTTATCTATTTCCTATTGACTTAAAAACGTCATTACCATTTATAGAAAAGGTAAAGAAAAAAAGCTCATTAAAAACCAATGGTGAAAACGTATCAAACTGTTTCCAAACATTCTACATTATAGAACAATTCGTTTTTGTAGTTCTTACCTTCACAGCGTGGAAAGGGATGGTTCCACTTCCTGTTGGTCCCATGTAGACACGTTAGCACCGGGTGGCCGATCAAAACATACCCAGGGTAGCAGTGGAAAGTGATTGACTGGCCAGCACTGTAGTCATTGTTGATGATGTCGCCATTAGTGAAAGGAAAAGGATCCTGGCAGTGTTGAAGTTCATAGGCTGAAAGAAATTAATTAAAATGTAGTATTTTAATGCCTGTCTGTGAACTGCTGTACACAGACTGGAATTACCTGAAAGAAAACCCAGATCAAGACTAAAACTAACCCCGTGGCCCACTTAATCCCAAATACTTTGGGACTGTGTGACCCATACTCACTCGGGGAAACATGCAAACTCCACACAAAGGACCAGAAATCGAACCACAGACCATAATGCTGTAAGGCGGGAGCACGACCCGCTCTTCTACGATGTGGCCCCCAGCCACATCAGTGGGGCTTATTTCATTCAGTACACTTCCCCCGAAAATATACTCTTGGCATACCAACGCTTACCGCAGAATATTTTAGCATCACAGGGCCACTTAGAGCGCATCTTGAATTCTGAGGCCTTCCATTAAATGTGTGACTGAAAAGAGCAGCGGTGGGGAATTGCTGACATCAAAATGCCAAGTCAAGGAGAGAGAAGGACAGGGCCCCGCAGCATAAGAACAAGAGCTCAGCTTCCAGTCAATACAAATGAGGCGATAAGCAGGTACAGGACAGCACCTGAGGTGCAGTTGGTTTAAAGGAGGCTTCAGAGCTGCATCGAACCGGCGGCAGCGGGACGAGGATGGAGGAGAGAGCTGTAGCCAGTGATACCATCTGACAAACTTCAGTAGTCACTGCTACATCACTCATTTATTTAAGATATAAGACTTGACTGGATGAGAACAGTAATCAGGGCGACCTTCTGGCAATTACAGAAGACAAATCATAAACTGTTTGGCTTAATGTTTGGTTAAGGTTAAAAATAATTAGTATTAGTGATTATTATATACATATTTTGTAAATATATATATCTTGTATATACACATGTATATATGCACATACAGTTTATATACACTACATTAGCCTTTTTTCTAGCTATTTTTTTTAAAAGCAATGTTTTGTTAACATTTACCTTTATACTTTTAGCCTTTTTTCTAGCTATTTTTTTTAGAAGCAATGTTTTGTTAACCTTTACCTTTATACTCATATTTTTTAGATTTTTTTTTTTACCAATTTTACTGCTGGATTTTTTTTTTTTTACCAATTTTACTGGTTATCAACTACTGTCATTTTTAAGGTCAAAATTTGGCCATTTCTGAAACATCCATTGATATCACTATTATTATGGACTGTTTTCTTTAGACTGATTTTAGGCTTAAATTATGATTTGCAGTTATTTCGGTCAACATACTCTGGGTTTCACTGATTTGCCATCTTCAAACAGTGGGGCCCCCTATATGTGAAGTTTGGGAAACTCTGGCCAATTAATGATACATTTGAGACATGGAGAACACTACGTGGTCCTCTGGTGTTCCACGGTAAATAATTCCAGTACAAAGGAAGTTGCAAATTAGAAAACCGTTACCTCCACATTGTTAAAAGTGTGAGGATTTGTAGCTGTAAAAGTGCAACAGAAGGAGGCGGCTGCCTGAGATCTGAATGTGGACGTTTAATTCAAGGCGAAGCAATTACAGTGTGACAACCACTAAAACTGGAATCACATCCTTTCCACTTTTATTAGCAAAATTTGTGTCCAAACGTCAGGCTCAGGGGTTTTTTCCCATTGTATTCATATCGACTTTTTGGCAGCCAAGACTCGTGCAGCTAAGGTTTTATGGATGTGCACATAACTAATGAACCCTAAATCTCCAAGGCCTTGAATACACAACCTGGGGCTGGATCTGCTGCTGCTGGTGTCAGGCTGGAAACTTACACCAGGGTCAACTGTGGTTATATAGGAAGGCATCGAGAGTCTGCATGGATAACAATCCTCTGACCAGAGATAACGCCATGTGACGCAACATGTTGAAATCATTTGTTCCAATGGGTACAACCAAACGAAGCATCGAACCAGCAACAACTGACCAACAGGAACGAGGTAGGAATTTAAAATATGGTAAAAAAGTGTAAGTGAGATAAGGTAAATAAGGTGAATGGAATGGATTTTGTTTGTGTACCATAATAAAAAAATGAAAGAAACATTGATGATTTTAATTCCAACTTTTCACTATATGCAGATGATTTGCTGATTTTCTTTGGCTAGTTTCTCGTTAATTGTTAGATTTTAATGTCGTCTTTTACTATAACTTCATTTTGGACTTTAATTAAATTTCTGAAGACCAAATAACCACATATAACGTGGGCAGGAAAATATTCTAGCCATCTTAACAACAAAGTAAAAATCACCCTGGTCACAGAGAAGCCGTGTCTGTTAGCGTTTGTAACTTGACATGACTCAATCTCAGGATATGATAACCAAACCTCAGGAGTGTGGTTTTTAGGGGGCGTGGGGGGCTGTGTGTGTTTTAGCCACTATGTTCAGTTTCATTTGATCAAACAAATCATTTCGCTAAATCTATTCCACCCAGCAGCTTGTGTTCCAGCTCACGACCGGGGGAAAGTAAAGAGAAGGCTCGCAGGTGTGTGCTCTCAGCATCCCTTCAGGGGCTGCTTTAAACTGATATCGCCTGCAGTGATTCCTCGGGGCATGTGGCATTCAGTGTCTCTAAAGAAGAAATAAATCCTGAATTCATATATAAAAAAAACAAAAAAAACAAAAACAAATAAATCCTACCCTGATAGGTCAGTTTGAATCCCTGTCTGTTCTCCGAGTGGTCACTGTAGAAGTGGATGATGGTCAGGTGGGTGGTGCTCAGCAGAGAGGGTGGGATCTGTGAGCCAGTGAACTGTCCAATGAGAGAGGAGCTGTGCTGTGGTCCCGCCCTGACCTCCAGAAAGTCATGGTTGTCTTCAGAGGAGAAGTTCTGGAACTGGATATGTGCTCCTGGGAAATGAAGTCATGTTACAGACACAGTAAAATCACATCTGCACATGTGACAGTTTCGTACCACATCAATTATTCTGGGCGATACGACTGAAAAAATGCTGCGTTTTCTTTCTTTTTTATCTAAAAGCTGATCTAATCTTACAAACAGTAATGCTGCTTTTTTTCTCCTGTTGTTGATGTTGTTTCCCATGGCAACAGCTACTTTCTTATTTTATGTGTCTTAAATTAGTATTTGTTTCTTGTTCCCAGCCTGGAGACGTTCTCTGCCGCGGCCCTTAAGAATCTCATTGCAGAGTGAATCCCAGTGTTTTACTGTACATATGGAAAATAAAGTACTTTAAACTCTCAGCTACATCTGTAGTATTACCTGTGGGTATTACTGTAAAAAAATAAATAAAAATATTATTGAACCAGAGACCCAGCCTTTAAACCTTGGAGATATTTCTCCATTAGTTTTAGGATGTGGACTGTTTCACTTCATCCATCTGGGCTGTACTTTGGATTTCACTAGTAAACCAAAGGGAGAGAGGACATTTTTTTCTGACATATTGACTTTTACAGTAGTTCCTGGCTAACTTTTAGCATCACACTCCTCTCACTTTTCCTAATGTTTAGTCTTTCTGGATAATTTCACAGAAATATAATCCCATCAGGCTAATTTATTAATTATGCTAAATTCCAATTTTCATTGGTGTACTTTTAGCATTAGCTTTAACTTTGACTATGTTTAGATTTAGAATTAGGACAAAGAAGCATTTCTGCCTGGAAACATTGATAACCATTTAATTCAGACTTTTATTTTTATACTTTTAAGATCTATTTTTTAAATTCCTCAGAATCACAGAGGGACTGATAGCAACTCTGTGCTATTCCTAACACCAGTGTGTGTCATGGTTAAATATAATCACCCTCTAGCGAAAGGTGAAAGAAAAAAAACCCTTACAGCCATATGTGCTGCAGATTTGTGCTAAAAATGGCCAACGTTTCAACAACAGATGTGCGGAATGCGACACATTCTTTCAGCGATGCTGTGGCTCCCCGTGACACTCACCAAATCCCGTCGGCAGGGTGATTTGCCAGGTGCAGTCCAGGTTACCGGGGTAGTTACCTGGGAAACCTGGGCTCAGGACAACGCCGCTCATCTCTGACAACACGCCACCACAGCGAGCTGACACCACGAGCACAGCAAGGAAAAATAAATAAAAATGTTAGGATGAAATTATGACTGACAGAAATGTGAACGTTAAACGATGTAAATGCTGTGTACAATGACATGAACCTTGTTATAAATACTTTAACTTTTTTTACTTATGGTATCGGAAACTGAAACTGAAGAGTGATGTCAGTTCTTTTGTTTGATGCATTACGATGAATCAACTGTAATTTATGTTGATGCCACTAGATGGCAGCAGACATCAAATGTGGTGAATAATCTCAGAAAGTTTAGGATTATTCTTGTATATTTTATTAATATTATTTCGTCCAGAATTCTACATCCAACTAATACTGAACGGTCCGCCAGTCAAATTTTGAACCTCTCGAACAGAACAAAAAGGTAAAATATAAAAGAAAAAAAATGATCATAAAAGAGCTTAAGGCATCAGTCAAATAATGCTTGAGAATTTTATTCAGCTATGAATAAAAAACCCAATCCAAACTAATCAAAAAAACTGCCCAACAGTAGGTGGCAGACTGGCCTCCTCGTCCAAACAGCCGATTGGAAACCTGGATCTACGGTTTTGGCCCACGGTGATTAAAGGTGGTGTCAGGACTGAGAACTTCATCCTGAAACTGCGGTGAAGCCTTTCCTGAATTTGCTACAGGCTTTTTCAGCGAGGACTGAATTATTCAGGCATAACACAAATATCAATGCAATCAAGGACTTTTAACAGGACTGCAGGAGTTAAGAGAGGCTCGGCTCTGCAGCGCCAGCTACAAAATTCCGCGTGTGCCCAGCAGGCATATTGATTTTATAGATCGCTGACTCGGTGTCACCAAAGAAGATGCTAACTTTCACAAATTTAATTCCAAGCTGGTCACATTAAATATAAGAACAGAGCTGCAGATAAGAACGGCTGTTCCTCATTCAGGCATTTCTATTTATTGTTCTGATTACAACAAAAAATTCCATTAAATCTTACGTGGCCCTGCTGCTGTAAGCTGTAAGTTTGGGCTGTGCTGACGGATGACTGTGAACTATTCAACTGTTTTAGTCTTATTTTCTTGTGGATTTTTTTTTTACTTTTGTTTTAGTCTTATTTTCTTGTGGATTTGATGTGGAAGTTTTTTTTAACTTTTGACTGATACCATTAACTGGTAGGCAAAATTATAATTTGTATACAGCGTTTTAGTCTTATTTTCTTGTGGATTTTGGTAAGTTTTTTTTTTACTTTTGACTGATACCATTAACTTGTAGGAAAAACTATAATAAGTATACAGGCCAAAACATATATAATAAAGACTTATTTATGGTATATTATTGTAATACATGAAATCATAAATAATAGTTGTACATCATTTGATCTGTTTTTTCGTTTTGTTAACAGATTGCAATTTTCTTTCTTTTTGGTGCTTTGAAAAATTTACTTTTTGTCCTTTAATAAATCCTTATGTCTCACATGTGATCATTTGATTGTATATTCTTTAATGAAGGCCAGATGGACAGAAATAAACGCAATAACGCCTACCACAAACAAACACAGGAATCATCCTACCTGTATTTATATCACTAAACTCTTACATGACGGCCTTTGGTTATTTGCATTATTTACAGCTTTAATTCAGTGCATCAAAAATCACAGTTTTGTTTATAAAGGACAAAGTTTAGCAAGAACTCATTATTCTGGTGTGAATGTGTTAGTGTTTATGAGTCTGTGTGTGCGTGTGCGTGTGTGTGTGTCGGTGCTTTTGTTTACCAATGCAAAGAGGCGGCGGGTAGTTCCACCTACGCACAGTACCAGGCATGCAGGAAATGTGCGAGTGGCCCTGAAAGTAATAACACAGCATGTCATTTTCCTGGAAAAATGTAAATATAAAAGTGCATTCTAAGTATTCAAGGTAACAGTGCAGTAAGATGTGCCATCCCAGCACTTTATGAGAACGGAACGTCGCTGGGATTTTGTTTTGTTTCAAATACATTTTTCACAGAAAATGCAACCAATCAATTTCAAGTGTTTGTCTTTCTCTGATTTGATTTACCTGCAGTGTGTATCCAGGCTCACAGGTGAAAGCCACCACTTCATTGACCATATATCTGTCTCCTGTTTTAATGCCATTGGCAGGGATCATTGGCTCTGGACAGGTGGTGAGACCAACAGCTGCAATATACAAAAAAAAAAACACTTTTACCCCAGACAGGTTCAACATTTATTTTTATCTCCTTTTTTTTTGGCCCAGGTCATTTGTTGACATCACTTAATAACACATTCTTAAGACAGAAATAAGGCCTGTGAGATTGTATGTCCTGTAGAGCAGTGTTTCCCAAACTTTTTTTTCTGGGGACCCATATTTTAAAACTCACAAACCCTCGCGACCCAAGAAAATAGACATTATTCATAAACTCCTGGGAAACACGATGCGAGACGACCCAAAACAGAACAAAAAGGAAAGAAAAAAGCACAAAAATCCTTATGTGCGGTCAGAAACAGAAGAACTCCCCCTTGTGGGGTGGTGAAGTATTGTAGTGCCCAGTGCAACAGGTCAGTGTGGGTCTAGGTTAGGATCTTGAAAGAACTTTTAAGTCTGCACGTCCAAAAGAAAAAACAGATGATGAAAGGTTAGCTAGAAAGTTATACTAATAATTACAAAAAAAAAACAGAGAGAGAGAAAACCCAGAGAGATGTCATAACTGACCCCTGGAATTGAACATGGCTACGTTCACACTAAATAAAAAAACATCAGTTTGTTCTTGAATGCAGAAAGAATCATAACTTGAATAATAACTAAATGAAGAAAAAAACAAAAAAAAAAACAACACACACACACAGTTTCAGTTTTGTCAGAAAATGCCCGGAAGCTAAATGGGAAGTGAATGTGACCAGCACTAAGTGGCTGTAGTCATTTATTCAGAAAACAACGAAGGTTAAACACGTCTTTAAGAAGTTTGACAGCAGCAGGACCTCAATTTAACAGAGTGGTGGGATCTCTCTGACTGGACGTGTGTGTGTGTGTATGTGTGTTTTTCTCAGAAAATTCTGCAGGAGAATACCCTGGAGCGGTTGCCATGGTAACACAGGGGAGGATAAGGGGGAACAGAAAAAGAGAGAGAGACAGGTGAGTGTGTGTGTGTGTGTTTATGTGTGTGTGTGTGTTTGATTGGTTCATTATCTACCTTCCTACAAGCAAAATAAAGTGATCCCAATGAGCCTGTGCCATGAGGAGGGGTATACACACACACACACACACACACAGGAACACACACAGACCTCTCCCAAGTTAGTAACTAAATTACTACATTAAAAAAGTAACTATTGCATTACTTTGTTTTATGTTTAAATGTGTCCAAGAATTTGAATTTGAACCACAGTCAGGCGTTAACACGACAACCGCTGTGTTCAGAGACAGTTCTGAAAAAAAAATCTTATGAAAAGTCGGTTTCAGACGGAACACAAGTGAAGGAGCTACACAGGACTGTGATGTGGAGACACTGTGTATTTAAAGGAAAGCATCAGCAGGCTGCCATGACAACTGATCAATGGAACCATTCCATTTGGCTGACCCTCCCTCTCTCTCTCTCTCTCTCTCTCTCCCTTCTTTATTCTCTGTTATCAGAGAGTGATGACTCTGTGTAAAATACTGACAGAACCACAGACCACCAGCTCACCAACAGCCACAGAGATGTCAACCAGACAGTGTCAGCTGCAGCGGACTCACAAACAACTGAGGATACGCAGAAAATTAAATTCCAACACAACTGTCAAAAAATAATGAATGTTTATCTTCATGCAAATAAAAGATATAATTAAAATATCCAAAATTATCTATGGATGACAAACAAAGAAGAAACACTGTTACACAAAACAATTATATGTACAAAAAAATTTAAAGTTTAGTTTAGATTATTAAATATTAAAACATAATAATCTATTATAAATCAGCCGGTTCATATCTAGACACTTTTAACTTCTTATTTATTTTTAAATTAATGGCATACTGAGGCCACATATACTGCATATCTGTGAATAGTGTGAGTAATTTCTCAGGTTTCATCTGTGAAAAGACCTTTTGTTCTCCCTCATTTGACTGTAAAATTACACTTAAAATTACATAATCTGAGAACAAGGGTAAAAACAAATTCACCACTTCCTCTTGAAATGTATTAGAGATAAATCCTGAAAATAAACAACATTGGGATAAAAAAAAAAAAAAAAAATCCCCATGAGTTTTATGGACCGAGTGTTGTTGCATTTTTTCCATAACTTCTCAATTGTGCTTTCACTGCTGAAAGCCTGTGGTGAAGAAATATGTTCTTGTTTACTACATCTGTGAGACTAAAGCCGCATAAAACTCCAGCAAAGTCAACAAAGAACATACTTCTGTGTTTACTATAGAAGTAACAACTTCTCAAGACTCCGACACTCGGATCTAAACTGAGTAATGGCCGGAGAATATAGGTGGGCTTAGAGTTTTATTGTTCTCAGAGAGAAGAACAAGCTTTAAACCAGAGCACAATATTGTTGAGAGTCAAACGCCACAAAAAAACGAACTTAGAGTCCGACCACCAGGGGTAACAAATGCACACAGCAACAGCGGTAATAACAAGATCTTTCAAGGTTTTTGGTGCCGACAAAAAGCACCATCAATATTAAAAGTAGCAGAAATCAAAGTTTGTATTCACACACACGTATATTCTTCTTGACGGCCTGTGTCCTTCCAGAACATTATTAACCCTCCACTTATGAAGAGCGGCGGAGTGGAATATGATGAAGTCGGTCCCTTAGTTAAATCCATCCTTCATCTCTAGTCCTACTTTCATTATGAAGTTTTTCTTCAGAACCACAGATGATATACTGAAAAAAAACTATGGCTGTCTCTGAAACCGCCCCCTACAGCCTACGTAGTGCACTACATAGGCGGCATTTGTAATGGTATCCGAAGATAGTGCACTAAAAAGGGCACTCAACGTATCCCACAATTCACCCAAGCAATATATCCCATCATGCATTGCAGTCCTGACAACATGGCGGAGAGCATGACCGAAAAAAATGCCACATTGTTAGCAAATTAGAAGGTTGAAATTTTCCGGAGACAGAGGTAAATATTAACTGTTGAAATTAAAATGGTTATAAAAAATGTCACAATTCATTGCAAAAACAGCTGAAAGATGTCATGAACTGTCTGGAAAAAATGGCTGTAGGTTAATAGTAGTGCTACATCTATAGTCAAACCAAGTTAGAATCAAATAAATTCCAAAACTGCTGTGAGTCTGGATAGAAATGTAAAATATTAAGGTGCATAAAGAAATATCTGCTTAACTATGAATTCTTTTAATTTCAACAACAATAATTAAAAAAAAAATACAATCTAACTCTGTCCAGCTCTGCCTAAAATAAAGGTGCCTTTTATCAGTCTGTCAGTTCATTTCTAACTGCAACCTGTTCTGTGTGTAAATTAAAAAAGAAAGTGTGAAAGTCCAGAGAGACGTCTGAATGCACTGACCTCCACTCAGTAATATATGGAGCTCAGTCCAGAGCTACAAAAATAAATAGGAAAACATAATAAAATATAACAGCTGTATTACACTCAGCCCCACAGTGACCCTTACTTTGATTTTTACTCAAACTGAGGGCATAGAAAAATATAAAATGTAGAGCTGACAAGTGTCCAATACCCCCCCCACCCCCGGCCTCCTGTCTGAGGCCACTGAACACCTAACATTAACCTTTACCACACTCTCATTTGACCCTGTTCAAATCCTGATCCTAAACACTCTTTAAACTAGGGATGACCAAAGTTAACTTATTGCTGATATCCGATATGATCCAAACACTTAATTTCCATTTCCGATATCAACCAATACCAATACATGCAGCTGTTTGCCACCAAAACAGAGGTAAACGATCAGGACCCTACAAGCAATTCCAGCATATTTGGCAAAACCCAGGAATTGTGTTATCGAGTTTTAATTATGAGAGAGAAAAAAAACGATAAAGATTCTTATCGATATTGCATGATGATGCTAATAGAGGGCTATCAGTCGGCCGATACTGTTGGACATATTTACTTTAAAGCCTGTCTTTCTGAAGTTGACCTGCAAAATGTCCTGACAATACTAAGCGTCCCTCCAACATTTGTCCCCACAAGTATAGCTACACTAGAATACACACACACACACACTTGGGCCACAGACTCACCAAAGCGAGACATGTTCACTGATGTAGAAATGACTCTGAACTAAAACAAATAGGTCGGAGAAACAAGTGCAGCCGTGGCCCGACAGGTGTGCACGTCCACGTGCGCACGTCCACGTGTTGGCCTACAGTCCATCTCAACGCATTTGTGTTTTTCTGACACATTTGCGCAAAAGTGTGTGAACTCCCGCCAATGTACGGCACACACACACACTCGTACAGATACATCCACCTCTGCATGAGTCTGTCCACATCCCTCTGAGGTGTGTGCTCCTGCGTTGACCCCTGCGTTGATGTGTGTCTCTGCTCTCAGGCTCCATCAGTGGCTCCACTTCAGGTCACTGACTTCTTCCATTTGATGTGGAAGTTGTGCTTTTCACGTGCCGTTGTGCATTTATTGTTTTTTCTCAACATCGGAATGAACCTGGAATTCAGTCTCTGGTTGTTTCACTAACCCTGCACGTGTGTGTGAGTGTGTGTGTGTGTGTGTGTGTGAACTCACTTTTGTATTCTAGGTGAAAGCCTGCCGCCACCACACTGATGTCACTCTGAAAGTGCAGCAGGAGCTGATTTGAAGTGGAGTTGAGCAGAGCTGGGGCTGTAGTTCCTGCGAGAACAAGCGATAGAACAAGATTACATTTTATTCCTGTCTATTTCACAGTCTCTGCTACAAACACTGTAAGAGCAGAGAACGCTGCTGAGGAGGGAACGCTTCCTTTTCCCCTCACATGTGCAGGTATTTAAAGACATTTGATACACGGCTTAACAGGGACCATTCCCCGTGTCAGTTTTTAAATATGAAGAAACATGTATTTCTGAAGTGTTTTTATAATTAGTATGAATAAATACCAAAAATATAGCTTTTAACAACAGTTGAATTTAAGGTACGTATAACATTAACATGGTTTAAAGTAACCACACAATTCTTACAAGTTTTTTTTTTAAAAAAGGTTATTAAAAAAGTACCAAGACAGAAACATGTATTTCTGAAGTGTTTTTATTATTAGTATGAATAAATACCAAAAAAAGAGCTTTTAACGACAGTTGAATTTAAGGTACGTATAACAGTAACATAACACCACACAATTCTTTATAAGTTTAAAAAAAATGGTTATTAAAAAAGTACCAAGACGAATGTCATAATCGTAATAATCAGTATAACTTGTCAAATTGTCTACAACAGCTTTGACAATTTTTAACATTCAAACTTCAAACTATTGAGCTGTTCATTTGATCAGGTTTGAAATTCAGCCAAAGAAGCAGTTTGTCAAAAGTCATTCTCTTGAATATTGTTATTATAACATAAATTACATATTAAGAAAATCTCAGATGAAAATATAACTTGAAAAAGTGTTAACACTAAAATGAACTGACTTAAATTTGAACAAAAGTCTGGATCCAGATCGAAGACAGAAGACGTAGAAATGTACTACACTTTTGGGAGAGAATTAAACACAGATAGTACCATGTGTAGTACCATGTGTAGTACCATGTGTAGTACCATGTGTATGCAAGAGTGTGGCGTCTGCCTCAAGAGTTCTATGTCGACTTTGTCAAATAATAAAATCCACTGAATTCTCCTGTAGCTGTTAGCTGACACGTACAGAAGCTGAGTGACCCGTGGTCTCTCTCCTGGGCAGCACACCCTGCAGGTCAGCGTGGTTTCAGCGGGCAGCTCCCCTGTGTGGCCCCCTGAGAAGGGCGCAGACGTGTGTGTGTGTGTGTGTGTGTGTGTGTGTGTGTGTGTGAGTGAGTGCCCTATAGGCGTTAAGTTTAATGTGTGATAGGTGTGCATGACAGGTATGTGCTTGGGGCAGGTCACAGAGGAAACTCCACTGGGAGAATGTAAAAGGTTAGATCATTCGTTTCCTGTCTCTGCTCCACGCTCTTTGTTCTTCCTCTCTCTCTCACACACACTCTTCACTGCACCGTCACCACACCTCACATTCATATTTAACCTGGTTTTATATGCACATAGTTGGGGAGGTCAGCTGTGGTGTGTGTGTGTGTGTGTGTGTG